TTAAATTAATATAATCAATTCAGACTATCCATTACCGGCTATCACAAATTTGCTGGTAACTGTAATTGCAAATGGATTTATTGGTGCATTTTAACCTGACAAATTACGCCAGTTGGACGAAAATAACTGTAAGACTGCTAAGCATATCATGATCTCATCCATCGGAATACACTCAGTCACAAGAAGGCAAGATATCTGCAACAATCAGAAGTAACAATGTCATTGTAACTACTTCGCCACAAGATAATAAAGCATATCTTGACATGAGTAAGAACCCTTCAGGATTAACAAGATGCATAACCAATGGTAGATTTAAGGTGGGGGCACATCCGGTCTATGCCCTCCCCAGCCCCCCCCCCCCTCAATTAAAGGTCGAATGATATCCCAAAATAAGTTGATTCCTGTTGATGTGCAGGGCTGCATACAAGTCATATGTTGTCATTCAAAAATGTGAATATATTTCATTATTATTATTTTATTTTTATTTTTTTCTTCTCGGACCTGCTAAGCTCCATCCTTAAAAAAATGCACAGGCTCACAAACTTAGAATTGCATTCTTTCATAAAATACCTCCACATTACCTTTCTTTTCCTGGTAGTGCTACAGCACGTCTAATATAGCAACTAAATGTTGGTATTGTATGGTCTATTGTAAGCATATGGTCAGCTCTGTTGAAGCTACATACCACTGTCTCTTGTTAGCTCACAAATGAATGACAGATGATGTCACAAGGTGAATGAGATCTGGAGCATTTTTTTTGGGGTAGAGCTTAGCAGGTGTGAGAAAATCGTTATCAAAATATGTAAAAATCTATGAAATATAATTATTTAGATGTTTGAATAACAAAATATGAATTGTATACAGCCCTGCACACCAACAGGAATCAATTTATATTTGGATGTAACCCGACATTTAAAACCCCAAAAATGAAATGCTCAAAACCATCTTTGTTTTAGCTTGCAAGAGATTTTTGGGGGAACTGTGCCCCCCCCCCTCTCCTCTTTCACAGAATCCTGGATACATCCCTGGTACCAACAAAATCATATTCGACAACACTATCCCTTTAACTTGGTCAAAGGTCATCTAAGTGATGCCGTTTTCAAACGGGGTACTCTCACACATTTCTTCCCGAGTTATTACTGCTAGATATAGGTTAATTCGTTCATGTCTCCTTATAGTTATGTATAGTTCCTTAATTAAAATTAAATTAAACTAAGTTTTTCCATCGCCCGATTGCTGCAATGGCCGTTTCATTAACAAGGGCCCATCATCATGGTATCGATGATGTGTCCGTTTATAGATGATTGTATGGATGATGTTTCATTGATAGTCACAGTAACATAATTATAGTCCTTAACCTAGATCACAATGGTTGTAACACCAAATATAACAAAATGCTTCCATTAGCTTGTAGCATACATTAATTTATTCATCTACCATCAAAAAGCTAACAAATCTGAGATAAAAACACAATTTGTTAATATTTCAAACAACAATAATACAGAAAATAAATACTGAAGATGTTGGGTGTACCAAACTTACAGTGTCTTCATTCAAATATATATTTTTCAGGTTAAATGGAAAATTGCACAAACTGGACATTTAGACATTTTACGGCTTATTGGTCCTTTTCAATAAAAAGATAAATACTACTCAAGTCTGAATCAGACTTTCATTTCACACGTTTAAGAATTTATGCACAGCTATGCATATACCTGTAATACAGTGTTGAACTGGCAAGCAAATTACTTGGAGATTAGTGTTAAAAAAGAAAAGACAAATCTTTTAATTCATGTACTAAAACAAGCTCCCAATAATTAAAGATCACATGTGCTCCAAAAATGTGTCTACATTTTTTAAATTATAACATAACATCATTATCACATTTACCAACTTAAATAATCTTTCTAACATATAGTAAATTCTAGCACGATTCCAGTTGTGACTATAAACTGTTGATTCAAGACTGTGTACTTACAAAAATATACTTCCTTTTTAAAAAGATATTTCCAATAAAAGCATCTCTATTTCTACAGTGTACTCTATAAAGTTTGCTCGGAGTATTTATTTATACCTGTAATATTCAATCTAATTATACTTCAAGTTTTAGAAAGAGACAACTACAACTGAAAAGAGATCTTAGGTTTAATCTGAAGACCAAATAATCTTTTTGAGTTGGTCTTAACAACAATACACTGTAACCTTTAAGTTTAAATCTTTTCTCAGTTCCCACTTCCCACACAATAGATGTAATACGTTTTTTAATAAGCAGTATATGGTCCAGAAACAAACAGCCAACCCTTGTGGAGAAGAACATACAAAGAATACTCAAGAAATACTGTTACTTATTACAGCACAGCAAGAATAGGATATACAGGACGAAAACTGCCATACATTCTTACCTAGTCATTTAACTTGTCATTAAAACACCAAATATTCAAATTACTGAATGGTAAATAAAATGTTATAGGCATAAAATACAAACTCCATATAGAAAATATTGATATTTAAAAAAAATCTTCATCTGGAGGCAAAATAAATTGTGTAAAGTTTCAGCTGGGAAACAACATAAGATTAGGAAATGGCCAGATTTATCATGAGACATCATTCAAAAGAAGCAAACATTAACATTTTGAAGAATAAAAAATACCGGTAATGAAGGAAGTAGGCTCACATTGTATACATATAACTATACTACCCTAAATCAATATGGTACGTGTAAAAGCTGAGTATTTTCTAGTTGCCAACATATCTAGAGTTGAGAAGTTCATCATTATTTTCCATCACTGAATGTTGCACTTTATTCAAAAACTTCTTTTAAAGATGAAAAGAATTCACGATTCCACAGCTAAGAATATAGTCATGGCTTCTTCCTTACTTTTCACAAATAAAGTGCATGGACATCTCCTCACCTTTGTTGTACATAATGGAGGGACTTGAGTAAACTTACAGGATTATATACGGTACATGATTTCTTTATAGCTTCTTTGTAGCCAAATACCCTTAATAAAGTGCATCTTTCTACTGATGCAATTTCCTCATCTCATAAAAATGAATATACATGTATCGTTATAACAACATATCAACTAAAACAAAGAGTACCCGGTAATAATAAAAATCAAAAAGAACAAAAAGCACCCAGACAAAAAAATAAACTGATATGACAAAGAAAATATGTATGGCAATATTCATCTACATTAAAATTAAAACCATAGATTATATTGTACACTATGAAAACTTTTCCTTCCATTCATTTCAAAAATAAAATCTAGCTGTAATGAAATAAACCTTCATTTCATTTAAACCCTTCTCTGTTTAGTTTTAGTCTCCATTAAATATGACCCAAAAATAAGAATGACCAAAATAAATAATAACGTATTCCATCGAATACAAGAAATTTCCCCTTTAAAATTTTATAGAGAAACATTCAATTTTTATTTTGCAAAATGCCGAAACTAAATCTTTCCACATGTTTGATTTGTAATAATATAGTAGTAAACATAATGGCGAAATCTACCTTCATCCAGTTGAGAGAGAGGGCGTACATATGATTTGGTACATTTAGGGATAACGAGCCTAGAGGCATGCAGACCTTTCCAGAACACAGTTCCGCCACAGGATGAATGTTTACCTCGTGTTTGAATTTTTCCGGACCATTAAGTCCACAAATACAATTGAATGATTTGTGAGTGGTCAGAGTCTCAAAGTAATAGTATAGATATATTGACTGCTATGAGAGGCATCGCTGTTTCTATAGGCTCAAGAGTTCATCGGCAGGATGTAACATCCCCGAGAGCCAGTATAGAAGCAGCTATGCTTCAAATATTAAAGCAGTCCATATAATATCTTTTATATACCGGTACAAAATTCACAAACAAATCTACAAAAAATTCTTTCCTTATCCTTTACAAAAGTAAAGACTGGTTAAAACATCACAGAAAATCTGAGACACTGTCTCAAATCTTTGTTGGAAAGTTGCCTGAATGTTACGATCAATCAGGAATCGCACACACACTGCACTGTATTTTGTATCCACGCTCGCACAAAGAAACTTTTTACATGTTAACCAATGGGGATCTCAGCAATTAAAAAACCTAAAATGTAGCCACCATATCGCACAAACACTGTATGGTATTCGCACTCACGCAAGGAAACTTTTTGCACGTAAACCAAGATCTCAGCAAAATTTATTTAAGCGACCTGTTACCCGGGGCAACAGGCATCTTTTAAAAAACTATTGACCGGTAGGTGGGCATGCGAGCATCTTTTAAACTAGATGGAACTTCAACTGCGCGCAGTCGAAAGTGATGCCTCCTTCATAGAGCAATTTTACAAACCAAAACGGAAGAAATATTTCAAATTCAATTTCGGTTGTAATCCATTAACAGGTTCTCAGAATAACGTCATTACAAGCTATTTCTCATATACATATATGACCCTTTGATCTTTGAACTCATGACCCCAAATGCAAAATACATACATGTCTTGAGTTTGATGGTAATCCATCCATCGGTTCTAATGATAATGCAATCACAAGCTATTTTTGCATACATAATGAGCCCCATGACCTTTGACCTTGGCCTCATGACCCCAATAATATATTCCAATTCATTGGCTCAGCAAGATACATACATGACCTACGTTTGGCAGGAATCCATCAATCGGTTCTTGAGATAACGCGATCACAAGCTATTTTTGCATACATAATGAACCCTGTGACATTTGACCTTTTGACCCCAAAATCTAATGAATTCATTGGATCTGCAAAATACATACATGACCAAACTTTGGTAGGAATCCATCAGTTGGTTCTTGACATAATGCGATCACAAGCTATTTTTGCATATATAATGAGCCCTGTGACCTTTGACATTTGACCTCGTGACCCCAAAATCTAATCAGCTCATTGGCTCTGCAAGTTACATACATGACCAAAGTTTGGTAGGAATCCATCTGTCGGTTCTTGAGATAACGCGATCATGAGAACGGGACGTACGTACGTACGTACAGACGTACGGACAAACGGACGGACGGACAACTCGAAAACATAATGCCTCCGGCTACTTCGTAACGGAGGCACAAAAACTATTGATCGGTAGGCGGGCATGGTTAAATAATCTCGACTCCAATTTCAACCAATCAGATGAATAGATTTATTCAACATACTAAAAAGAGGTATAATAATGAGTAATATTTGTTCCAGATAGTTTTTTTAAGCAACTGCATTTCACTGATGACTTAAATAAGAATTAGAACCAACAACAACAACAAATGTTAATCTAGTGTCTTTGGGATAGGAGAGTTACTATAAATGTCCTTGAACACCATGTTCATCGATCGTAAGTTTGATTGGACTATGAAGTCACCAGCTGGGACATTCCTACATGCCAACCGAGAACCTGCCGATCAAAGCCACAGCTGAACAGATTGCAAGATGCAGTCTCGTCATTCCAAGCGGTACAGCATACCATTCGATGGTGACCCTAGGAATACAACAAGGAAGCAGTTCAACAGTTAATAACAAAGTTCTGACAATATAACTGAGGGATGAAGAAATTAAACCCATATTCTGAACTTGTGGCGGTTGACATTTGAGAATGTAAAAACATTAGGAAGTAAGCTTAAATAAGTTTCTTTTGTGACATAAGTTTGATGTTCAACAGCTCAGGGAATTATGTACCACGGGCGAACAAATGCTTTATCCTGAAAAGCTCAAAAACATCTATTTTAAGAGACAAATTAAAGGAAAATGTCATGGGAATTCATGTTTAGCTCAGTAGAATCAGCTGCAACCTCAACTGTAGAAGACTTAGTTAAAGTCATAAACAAGATATTACTAATTCTTTGATTTCATTATTCAATTTCTCTAAATCCAGACACAGATTTTCCTTAACTTCTAACTTCCATTCTTTTTAACTTCTAAATGCCATTCACTCTTTAGGAAAATGAGTTTCACAGAGAAATGCATTTTGATGCTGTTGATCTCTCTTCAACGATCTTTTTGACGGGCCTTTGGAACAGGTATACTACTACACATCTGGGGGGTGTTTCACAAAGCCTTTTTTCCATGACAAAAATCAGTGACAAATCTGCCGACAACCAACCAGAAGCAAGGATTTCAGTAGCTTACAACAACAAAAACTGTCATTTGTCACTGATGACAAGTTTTTTGAAACACCCTCCTGGTGGATCTTTCAGAATGGTAAATAACCTCATATTATAAACACAATGGTTGATTTCTATTAGTTCTTACCTGTCTATTACTTCGCGGGAGCCTGCCGACTCTTACACCATTCAAGTCATAGAGTCGGATGTTCCTGTTATCCTGAGGAATTGCCATAATGTTACTCGTTGGTGAAACAGACAGTCTGCAAAGAAATAAAAATGAGATAATAGTAAGAATCCTTATTTATAATTCTGAACCCTGTCATCATGAAATAAGGCATCACTCTTGGGGAAAATGGTAGATATTTTCATGCTTGAATACCAAAAAGTAATACGATCCAACTTTTTTGAAGTAGCATTTGTAGGCATTCGTAAGCATTTGTCGCTGGATCATACGTCATACAGTCTCAATATCGAATGTTGAAACATCTCCTATAGTTGTAATCAAGAGTGGAAATCTGTTCCACTCCCTGAAAGAAGCTACATTTTGTAAGTCTGAAAAATATCGTTAATTGCATTTATAATCAATAAAACAGCAGTGATAAAGGGATACGATCATTGCCTGCTAACGTCACTAAATGTGCGTCAATTGATGTTGTTGCGTTTGTGGGTTGTGGCTAAAGATAATAACCATTCTTTTTCATTTATCTCCTTGAACTTATCACAGCTAATAGTTAAATGATACCCTATGAACAACGTAATGAATACAGCATTCAAGAACCTTTTTCACAAATCAAATATTGGACCATGGAGAATCTTGTTTTAATACCTGTTGACAGGAGAATCTGTTCTGATCATGGCAAGAGGTGTTCTCATGTTCTTTAAGTCCCACACCTTGACTGTCCTGTCATCTGAACCACTCACTACCTTGTCACCTGAAGCAAAGGCTGCAGAGGTCACTGAGCTGAAAACAAGGAGTAGGAAAAAAAAATCAATTTTACTCTTAAAAGCATTCATGATGTTGGTATTTATTTGACCCGACTGCTTGGAAAGCAATCACAAGCTTGAAATTAGCTACTAGTGGTCCTACAACTTTACGTACGATCTGTTTGAGGGACTCTGTATGTAACGATACCTTATGAAAGGGCAAAGGTGCATCTAATGGGTTTCAAACCCAGGATTTCCCAGTGACGCCTCCATGAAACAATACTGCTGACCGCACACTTCACATTTTCTCATACCGCAAAGTGCAAATGATCCTATAATGCAGTTCTTGCCATATGAAACAACCATGCTGACAAGCAATCTAACGGGTCAATTTGTTACTATGCTATGTACATGAAAGTAATTTTTGTTTTATACAAGTTATGTTTTTGCAGAGAGTTTGAGAGTATACACCATTTGCCCTTGCCACTACATCTAAATTGTTTTTTGTTTTTTGCATGTTAGCGATTCCTACCAATTAAATTTCAAATCAAGCCACATCACCATAATTTCTCATGTATATGTCCCTATCAAAACACACAATTACATGACATGAACTATGATCTGTGATTACCAAACTGAAATGACTCACTCTGTATGGCCCTGGAACACATTAACTGAGTGTATGCTTGGATCTCTGAAGTCCCACAGACGAAACGTTGTATCCATCGATGAGGTCACTACCATCTTCTGAGTCGGATGTGCACAAGCATGGGTTAATTCTTGATCATGCCCTGTATAAGAAGAATCATGGAAGATAGAAGGATATTATTACATGATCGATTCAGTATAAAAACTGAGAATTTAATTATCTTTGAAGAATTTAGAAGAACACTGGATGATAAACCACATTGCAACCAGGATTTATCACGTATAGAGGAATCAAAATGATTGGTTACTCATGATTGAATGATTGAACTGTAATCAGTTCATCAGCTTTGCAAGATACATACGTGACCCAAGTTTGGCGATAATACATCAATCGGTTCTTGAGATAACGCGATCACAAGCTATTTTTGCATACATATTGAGCACTGTGACCTTTGACCTTGTGACCCCAAAATCTAATCAATTCATCGGCTCTGCAAGATAAATACATGACTTAAGTTTGGCAGAAATCCATTAATCGGTTCTTGATAAAACGCAATCACGAGAACAGGACATACAGACAGATGGACAACCCGAAAACATAATGCCTCCGGCTACTTCGTAACGGAGGCATAAAAAGAAAGCTAGCTTAAAAGTTGGGCAACACAATTTGTTTTGTGTTTGATAAGTTTGTGTGAATAGAAATCGATGAAGGAGTGAAAAAAGTGTTAACATTCGCCAGCTAATGGCCATAATGTGTGTGTCAGTGTGTATTGCAAGAGGGCAGGGGGTAATGAAACTCATACAATGTCATCCTACCAACAACAAAAAGGATTCAACATTTAAATTTAGGCAACTAAATTTGACTTTTGGCGAAACACAATCAAACAATAGAAGAAAAGAAAAATTGTTTGGCATAATGGACAACCATATATTCAACATCAAGCTTTATAAGATGATGACGTGGATCCTAATCAAATGATTGGTTGAGAGCGTACATGTGACCAGGCATTTATTATGCCTAACACGTAATTTTGATAACGATCGGTCATTATCAAATGCTAATGACCGGTCATCAGTAAAATCATGTTATAAAACGTCATTTTATAAAACAAAGAAAACATGGTCTTATAAAATAAATATTACACATCATTTTGTTTGGGCATTAGTAAAATTACCCACACTCGGTACCTTCAGAACAGTCCAAACACCCTTGGCTATCGCCTCGGGCGTGTTAGATTGTTCCAAAAGTACCTTGTGTGGGTAATTCTTACTAATGCCCTCATTGGTGTGTATTATTTGTATAATACCAAATGATCATTCTAACCTGTTAGTGAGTGTACTACAGCTGAAGTCTCCAGGTCGTATAGGTTTGCCGTCCTATCCCATGATGCGGTGACAAGCTGTTTGCCTCCAGCAAGCCAGTCAGCTGCAATAAGAACACTAGTATGGCCTTCCAGCATCACTTGAGGTGCCTTCACGTATATGATGTTCTCACTCTCCGTGCCTGTAAGGATAAAACACATGATCTTAATTAGGTCAACCATCTGCAATAACAGCACTGGCATCACCTAGCATAGATAGATAGATAGTGGTGGTTATTTTACATGACTATTAAGAAAGCATAAATGCTTGTTAGTAAGCAACCAGATGGCCGACGGCTTTAGATCGTCTCCGAGAGACCTGGTAATGAAGATTAATGCCTCACCAAAGGGCACTAGCGCATCGACTTGGTTTCAAACCCGGGTCACCGGATAATGAAACCACTGCTCTACCGACTGAGCTATCACGCCTCTACTTGAGGGGCCTTTACATTTAAAGTGAAACCTCCTTTAGCAACCACCTGTATAGAAAGGCCATATGACTCGGCCACATATCCATAGAGACATTTTCTTCTTCTTTTGAATAGCATTCATCATTGAAATGTGTACTAAAAAAACCTGTGCCTAAAGACAACCTGTCTATAAAAAATGCTTTACCTTTGAGCTGATTTTCTATACAGACTTCACTGTATCATGTTCTCACTCTCTAAACCTAACAGAAAAAAAAAATCAGTTTTCACAAGGTCCAACAGAGATGGGGGATACATGCTCTGGTAAAAATTGCTCTGTAATGGAAAAACTACCCTAACCAAATTCTTACCCTCAATCCTGAACCAAACGATATACCTAACCCTGACTTTTAACCTAACCTAAAACCCTTTTGCAACCCGTAGCCTCTATATTTGATGAAGTAATGCCCAGAGCGACTGTCGCCGCACTCGAGGTTGGCACACCCTAACATGAAAATGAATTTGAATATTTGTCAAAAAAAATGCAATACAACCAAACAAAACCATATTTGATTGTATGCAGTTTGGTTAGATGCCATTATTTTGTGATGCAACACTCCCACATATTATTAACGCATACTCTTATTACTGGGACAAAAATTCAAAGGTTTCTACAGATATCAATTGAGTTATCACAGTTTTGTTTACACTAATTAGTTTATTCTTGACTGTTTCTTGTCTTTAACCATACACTCAGTGAGTTCTGCACTTAGTAAGGAGTTTTGGTACAAGTGCCTGAGTTACTAGATTTTTACTCTGCATACATGGCAATGCCAATTTTACCTTGACTTATGTCATATGAGTTCAGTGTATAATAGGTCAAAAGAAATTTCTTACCATCGATTTCTTCCTTATCTGAGCCATCTAGGTCATCTCCTGATGATGGACATGATTTCTGTGAACAATTAACAGATAAAAAATGTTAAGAGTTTATGTACAATGATCTTCTCGTCAGACATCCAGTCCACAACTTTCATGATGTCATGCATCACTAACTCTGAAGCTGTCTCTTATGTACAGTAAATTTTTTACTGATCTAAATTGACCTGTAATGTACAGTACAGAGTACCTATAGGGTGTTGCAGGAAAACATTCTCTAGAGAGTCAAACTCAGACACCAGACTCAGTATGAAAACAAATCGTGTTGAGAGCAGGGAAGAACAACATAACTTATAGTGAGAGCTGATCAATGGAAAAACCCACTCTACCTATTAAAAGGCTTAAACAACATTATGATAATTGCAGAGTACAATAAATTGACAAGACACTTTCAGCTGGCTGTGTCAATGCACTTTTGTTTTATAAAGCACTGTTTGGGCAGCAGGTATCAAAACGAACCTCAGCTTTTATGTACTTACGCTTTCAGGTTGTTGTCCTATGGTGGGAAGACTGACATTTGATTTCCAAACATGAGCTGTGTTGTCCCCAGAAGCTACAGAATAAAACAAGAATTGACTAGAATTTGAACAAGAACTGTAACTACTACTACTTTTTGCAAAGCTTCTGCTGAACTTTGGAACAGACTACCTTTAAATGTCAATAACTGTCAAATTTTAACCAATTCAAAACTGGTCTTAAAGGTAAAGACCAGTATTGGTAACGCCCCAATTTCAAAAAATGAAATGGAAGCTCTCATTACCAATCATGTGAAAGAATATGTTTTGACTAATACATGATGATAAAAAAATTGCCGGGAAACCGCCTACTAATTCATATATTTGGTAAATTTATTTCTCTCATGGTCGTGTGAGAGAGATAGGGTAGTCCCATATACATCTTTCTGTGTATAGTGCTTGTAACTTTACGAAGAATGGGCCAAATTTCTTATCATTTTGATGATTCCAGAACCTTGCAGATGCTAGATGCTAGATGATCAACCTTTTCTGATCGATTCCACAACGTTTCTTTCACAATGCAATCGCATGACCATTACTGGTCTTTACCTTTAAGACACATTTATTCAAAATTGCTTTTGATGATGAACTGACTCTGCTCACTTTGATGTGTATTCCATATGTATTGTAATTTGTAGATTTATTTGCACTTTCTTATTTTGTTTTATATGTAATTGTATATCAGTCTATTTTGTTTGTTATAGCGCTTAGAGACTTTGGTGGTAAGCGCTTTATAAGTAACGTTTTTTGTGCTTTCTTAATTGTTTTATGTACATGTAGGTAAATCTAAGGTGTAAAAGTGTATTCAGCTGAATGGCTGAATAATGCACTTGAAAATGACTGGCAGGTTTATGAAGGACAAATTTCATTACTTAATAGGTGATAGCTAAGATAGGTAAGACTATATATTTAAGATTTCCTATCCCTCATTCTTATCTTACCTGTAAGAAGAAGTGGCTCAGATGGATGAAATCGGACTGAATTAACTGACCCAAGATGACCCAGATACTGTAGAACACAAGAATGTGTTTCTATGCACCAAAGACGAGCTGTGCGATCTAAATAAGGAGATAAATTAACCAAACATGTAAGTAACATGATATCTGTTCAGTTAAAAGGGTAAAATAGAGCATATTATTGTGAATCAACCACATTTTTAAAAAAATTCATGTAAAATAGATAACTGATATCAAAACATCATTTGAGGACCTTCAGCATGATGGAGTGCATGTTAAAGAACTTTGTTCATATTATACTATGGAGAATAAACAAAATAACAAAGAGAGTATATTCATAATAAAAAGAAAAGTTTGAGGAGCAAGCAAAGTAGTGTTTACAGCTGATACAAAATTTGATACATATTCTCTATTGCACTTGCTCACAATGCTGTAATTCAACAACAGGAATTTAACTATTGGATTTTCTAAAATAGTGAACACTTGGCACTTTTTTTGTATGATCCATTAAAGCCTGTCTGCACTAGTTTGGCCGGGGGGGGGGGGGGGGGGGGGGGGGGGGGGGGGGGGGGGGGGGTTTTACCTCCCTGCAACGTCAATGACAGATGGTTATCTCATCAAATCAGCTCTCAATTAACATAAGAAAAAGGGGACAGGCCTTAAATTAATCGACGGCCATCGACGGCCAGGCCGTCGATGCCCCTATGACTGGCCGCGGTGCCCTCCCAAAAAAAGATATATTCACGGCCAAAAAGGCCGTGCCCTTTTTTTCAAACTGGCCGACGTGCCTTTTTTCCAACTGGACGTGCCCTTTTTATTTTAAATTTGCGCACATAAAACCACCAATTGCGCCCATAATCATCTAAAACTAGACGGCAAGGCGCAAGTGTTTTCCCTGAAAATGCGCCCATAAATTATTAGAACAGTAAAAATACACGAATCACGAACAGTTTGCCGCCCACGAGCTCTCTTCTAGCTTCGTATTTAGTGCTTTAATAAGGCGCAAGTGCCGTGAAAATGCGCCCTTTGTTATTATATAGGCAATGCGCTAGCGCACGTACGTACGTACGTTCATATTATGCGATCGCATGATATGCATATGGTGCATGCTGTTGACGCACGCACGTACGTACAAATCGAAGGCCAGGATCAAGAAAACAAATCGTCAAATGGAGAAATAAACAAGCATTCAAATAGTCATTAGAGATCTGTCGAGGTTTGTTTGTAGGCCTAGTTTATTATTTTATCTCAAATAGAATTTAGAATTATCTTATTAATAAGTTAAGAACACCTACGATGTTCTCGATCGTAGTTACTCTCATTTTGCCACCAGCCGACCTCGCTTCAAAAAGCTACCCCGCCAGCTTCCCAAGACGAACGTTTCGAGTCCCGGTAAAATTCCGAGGGTGCATCGGTTTCGCTGGCAAACTTCCAGCCCGACAGCTTCCCACCAAAAGTGGCGAGAGTGTGTGTGCGAGGAACGATTTTGGTTTCGTGAATGCACGTTACGCAACTGAGCTGAGCGTGTCACTTTCAGCTGTCGAATGTCTATAAGGACATTTTTACATCTTATTTCATTAGTTAGGCCTATGTAGACCTTTCTATACAACAGTTAAAAAGATAATTTCTTCAAATTTGCTCCTACTACCGAGAGAGTGGCGGAAGGTTTGTGTGTGAGGTGCGATTTTGATTTGGAATACCCGGCCCGGTAAACTTGCCAATTAAGTCCTTCTGACTTTCGATGTTTGTGAAATTGACAATTTATTTATTCATTTGCTCATCAATATTTTTAGTTACTTTAAAATACTGTTTAATGTGCAAGTTTGATGTTCTTAATCAATCTTTCCTGTTCATATTGTTAAGATTAAAAAGTTATTAAATTGATCGTTCGATCTATTCACATTATGAAATTAACATTTGTAGACTCTCTTTGAACTTATGATTAGATAAGCGGCCTATCTGTTTTTGGAAAATTGCTCCTTGCTCTGGTAAATTCCCGTGGCAAAGGGCAACTTAAAAAAAAAAATTGCCCCTTGCTCCTGGCTGCTAAATCTAAGGCTTGCGGGCCGCCGCCTTGTTTGCAGGCGCGTAGCCAGAGTTTGGTGTTTGGGGGGGCACATACATGTAATCGATCGAGGTCAAAAAAAGGGGTCTACAAAATTTCAACCGATCCTGGAAATTTTAGGGGGGGCACGTGCCCCCCGTGCCCCCCCCCCCCCCCCCCCCCCCCCCCCCCCCCCCCCCGTGGCTACGCGCCTGCTTGTTTGTATGTACCGTAGACCTCTATACATTCTGTGAAGAAGCTGGTGCTAAAAGTCATGGGAAATTGATCCTGCACAAGTTTCATAAAATACACATGACATCTAACAAAAATAGAATCAATTTTTTTGGCCTCTTACTCGATGCCCTTTTTGTAAAATATTTTGGCCTCGATGCCCTTTTTGTAAAAATATTTTGGCCTTGGTGCCCTTAAAAATATGAGGTACTCGAGGCCAAACTGGCCTTGCCCTAAAAATGACGAAATTTAAGGCCTGAGGGGATAATGCATTGTTTGCTATACAGAGGGCGCAAGTAGCTTTAAAGAGAAGGTCGAGTTCTGGGAAGAGGTGAAAAATAATTTGTGAGCATTACTCATTCTTATTATGCAAGTGTGGAAGAACATCAGTTAAGACATGTTCCCTGAAAAGCATGGCTCTTCAAATGCCTTCATATTCTAAATATGCATGTAACATCGTAAAAATCGGGGGGCCGGCTTTTTACGCCACGTGTTCGTGTAGTCCCATATACATCTTTCTGTGCAAGTGTTTGTAACTTTACCAAGACTTGGCCAAATTTCTTATCATTTTGATGATTCCAGAACCTTGCAATACACACAAATTCTTATATGCTAGATGATCAACCTTTTCTGGTCGGTTCCACACCGTTTCTCTCACAATGCAATCGCGTGACCAGAACTCAACTTCATCTTTAACATTGTTTTAATACCTGCAGAGGCTGTAGCAAGAAGTGGGGCATCCCCTCTCGAGACACTGACCTCCCATACCCCATCGCTGTGCCCGTTATAATGATGCATCAGCTGACAACCTGTGCTACTCGTTCCTTTGAAACTGAACACAGTCTGAAAAAAAGAAAGATTAATTCATAACATGAATGAAAGGGAATTTTAGCTTCTACAGACACATTTACATGTAGTCTCTTGCATGAGTCAATGTATTGTCTATTCCCTTGCCGTTCTTCTCCTACTTAAAGGGGTAATTATTAACATGGTCTATGTGTATCATCTTTATTCAAAAGTAGTAGTTTTATCAACATGACCAAAAAAGTAAGCATTTTATCCCATAAAAAACAAGTGTGTCAATTGCAGGGTGCTCAAGACAAATACTAGGCATACATGTACATGGATCATTTAAAGTGCAAGAAACATACAAACAATTATACTGAAAGAAAACAAATTTTAAAGCCCTCAATGGTTATAATTTAAAAATTAAAATTGTAAGTCTGTCAAACTTGCCGATCAGCCACATCGGCATGATTGTGTGCATTTGTGTTTTATAAGTGTATTGACTATTCATGAGTGCAAATGCTGCCTATTAATTAACACATAGTGCAATGCTAGAGGCCAATACGCATTAGCATCGGATCTCTATGCTTTGTTGGAGTGCTCTACAGGTACTTCTTTGCTGTCCGGTGAATGCCAGACAGGATTCATAATACATTTGCTATTACTGCCTTGAGGGCAGAGTTACAGTAATTACCAAGTACTGGTTTAAAAATCACACAAGCATAGAATGTGGAACCTAATAAATAAAGATTTGGGAATAGGATGGAATTTGAAATACCTCACAGTACTTGATTTGTAACTTTTGTTTATTTTCTTACCTTTCCACCTGCCCCTTTAGCTTTGGGCTTGAGAATGAGCTGGCTCAGCTGACTTGAAGCTAAGTGACAAAAACAAATACAACATACAGTTTAGTTCCCTGAAAAATTCTTACGGGTTCTGTTTTCAAAGCTAATGACAGATTATAAATACAAAATTAGCAAATTAAGAGTTTTCAAGCTGAGATCATCAAAATATTTATCATAGATGTTGTTATCCTTAGCCAGTCAACTATACAATGCTCTCAGTAGGTTTGTTCATCGATCTATGGCAAAAAGCGATAAAAAGAGGAAATCCTATTTTCAGAGTCTCTGGAGTTGACCTTCAAACCTCCGTTCAAAGAACACTTCTTTCAATCTTTCCAATGTCTGGACAGTGTCTAAAGATCATATCCTGTGTATTTTGGGAAAAACAATTTTTACAACTGAGATATTATCACTTTCATTTAACATGTCATTCAAATGAACAAGTTCATTAAAAAAAATATCTCTGAGTTATGCATTGCTAAGACTGTGCCTGTCAGTCACATCTAAGATTGACATTAACAGATATCAAATTAGATGTGAACAGTACAAGTGTTGTATTTTTAAACAATATCAAAAATATATACATGTATATAGATATTTTACCTTTACTCTTGACACTAAGCTTAGATGAGCTTTCTGCTCCATCAATACTAGCTCCTGCCTCACTGAAGGACTTGCCTGACTGGATTGCATCCAGCTTATCCGTTAAGATCTCCACCTTTTGCTGCACTGTGTATTGGAGAGAAGGAATCACACAAAAAGGAATATTAGTAGCTTAGTACTGTGGGTATATTACTTGAGTGAAAGTACATGTATGATGTAAGTGTGAAAGCATACATATCTGGAGATGGCAAACATGTACATGTAAATGTTAAATTTGAAATAAAAGGGGTAGGGATTGCTCCAAATATTCTTTTTCTGGGGGTACCCCGGGCCCAGGGAACAATGTTTATATTTTCATTTTGGGGTTGTGATTGAAATATTCAGGATTCATAAACCGGACCCATGTTAGTGTGAGAACTGCAACAACAAAAAATTGAGATTTTTAAAAGAATTGATGATTTAAAAAACATTCATAGAGACATAGACCACTTTACCAGTTAATTTTTCTCAACATGTACATTCCCTAACTACTGTTTATATATATTTAAACTGTACTATCAAATGAAATGATGTCCAATGTTAATAATGAAACTCACTTTTATATCTCTACTTTTATAAAGAAAAATCATGGATCAGAAAGTGATAATTTCTAAATTAATAAATTTAACATTGAAAGTCAATCTCTAGTCCAGACTCAACTTCACAAAACATTTAAAGGAGATTGCATGCTTACAAGTTACAACACGCATGTAACTGTTAATTTTGAGCCGTTACACTAAAAAAAACATCGAAAGTCAAAAATGTGCTTCGCTAAACTATAGTTTGCAAGAATCTTCAGTCAATTGAAGGAGGCAGACTTAATCAGAAGAAGAAGAAGAAGAAGAAACTAGAGACGAGTGAAGAAGGTGGCAACTTACATCCAATATTTTCTTCATACATTCCTTCAAGCTCCCTCTCAATTTGTCTGAAGAGTTTCCAGATTTTAGAACGCATCTCTGGAGGTAGAATGCTCTCCTCTTCGGCCATTCTAGGAGTACGCATGTCTGCTTCTTGTAGCCTGCTGCTGCGTATTGATAAACGCTGTTTTGTTCCCTTCTTCAGATTCCCCTCCATCGGCATTGTTGCATAGATTATTATACGTTGGGGAAAGAGTTGCTCAGCTCGATTCTAAATGATAAATCCAAGATTCTGAAAGAAAAGTGAAAACAATGACAGTTGACCATCTTTAACGGACACATATTGAAAAGGGTCTGTAATCTTAAATTCTCATACAAATATGAGACAGAAATAACAATCTGGTATTAACAAATATTCTTCTTCCAGTAAAGTCCTGCTTCAAGTTCAAGGTGATGAATATAAACACAGGAATTATGGCAGCAATTATTTTATACAAAAAAGACTTGGTTTATGTAGAATCTACTTTCTAGCTAGCTGAATTAAGAACACTAACTTAGATCTAGGCTAGACTACGGTATACCTATAGGAGCTGGAGTGGAGCTTCACCAGGATCAGGATCGGGTCGCTGCACCGGATTCGCTGCACCATGTACGCTGGTCGTCGACGTCCGGCCGATCCAAAGCTGAAAGGCTAGCGGTCGTTCCGATCCGTACTATTTTGTTGATACATGTAGTGTTGATGATAAAGCTTTACCGTAGGCCTACTCAACAACCCCACCGAGCGCCTTCGTACAGCTAGCTACACTCACCGGTACGGTACTACGCGGGCTCCGGACTCATACTCCCATGGCGCATCAAAATATTAGAGACCAAAAAAAATATGACTCCCTCATGAATGGCATATTTTTGGAGTGGTTTGATAATTCTCTTAATGTGGATGAGAATATATTTAATCAAATTTTTAAAGATCTATTAAGTCAAAAGAAAATGTCTAAGTATACATATAATATTTTGCTGAAGAAATATAGTTGTACTAATGCCAAAAGGGAGAGTAAATGGGAGGAACTATTTGGCCATCAACCCAAAGAGAAGGATTGGTCGATTATTCATACGAGTAACTTTTGTTGCACGATTGAGACTCAGTTAAGGAGTTTTTATTTCAAAATTTTCCATAATGCTATTGGTTTTAATGCATTTTTGTTCAAGATTGGGAGAAAGGAGTCTGCTAATTGTTATTTTTGTTCAGATTTTCCAGAAACTTTAGATCACTTGTTTTGTGACTGTAGGAGAGTTGTACCACTGTGGGAAAAATTGGTGGATAAGATTAACACTGGCACTGATCACAGTTATAATCTGACTTTGTCAAAATTTAATTTTTTGTTTGGGATACAATCAAGGGACAAATACGCCTCTTGTATAAATTTTCTCTGTTTATGTTTAAAATATTATATTTACTCATGTAGGTTTCAGGGAAAAGAACTTATTTTCGAAGCATTTGTTTCAATGGTAAAGTTCAAACAAAAAATAGAATATAAAATTGCCCAAAAGAAAAATAAGTTACAAGTCCATTTTAAGAAATGGTCTATCAAGTTTAACTGAAATTTAGGAGTAGTCTTGCAAAGCTCTGTTGTCATTAACATCTTCATTGACTTTTTGAAATGTAAACTTGCCCTCTGGGAAAGTATGTGAGTGTGTGTGTGTGTGTGTGTGTATGTTTATGGGTGCATGAGTGCGTGCCTGTTTTGTAGTTTTAAGATGATATTATATTTTATATTGCTGCTTTTACTCTGTTAATTTTTCAAAAATAACAATAAAAACAGAAAAAAAAAAAAAAAAAAAAAAAAAATACACAGCGAGAATCCCAGTCTTTGCCAGACAGCTCGTCCTCGGATATCTCAGCCTCGCACTTATTCGATCAGCATGCAAAATCTAAATAAATTAGAATGCTAAATGCGAAATCATGTGACAGAGGAATCTCTGGGCGGAAGGTAGTGGGAGGGGGGGGGGGCAGTGGAGGGTCCAGGGGGTTGGGCTCCATCCCTGGGGAAAAAAAAGGTAAAAACATGTTAATGTTACCGTTATTTGGAGACGGTGCTCAAGGGGGGGGGGGTGCGATTTTTAAATTTTCGAGGAAAAACACAAATTAGTGCAACCCTACCGGCCCCCCCCCAACCCGGTTATTTACCGGCTGGCTGATGAGTTGACGCTAAATATTTCCAGAAAAAATTGGCGGAAGGTAGTGGGGGGGGGGCAGTGGCGGATCCAGGGGGTTGGGCTCCAACCCTGGGAAAAAACCGTTAAAAACATGTTAATGTTACCGTTATTTGGAGACGGTGCTCAAGCGATTTTTAAATTTTCGAGGGAAACAAAATTAGTGCTCCTCTCGAAAAAGTGCCTCTTACCCCCCCCCCCCCCTCCCCCTCCCCCTCCGCTCATTCACTGGCTGGCTGTTTCGCCGCCGTGAGGGCACTATGGGAGCACCAACAAATAAAAGATATATAAAATTATAATTGTTTTATACTATTACCGTTTGGGATCTAAAGTTGCAACACCATATACGATTTTGGGAGGGGGCTAGGTTGGTGGAGTTGTCACAGTTCATCCCCAGCCGTCCCTCCCCGGGCCCTCCCTGTCCCCCTCCCCCCCCCCCCCGGCCATGGAATAAGAAAGTTTGTTTGCAGTGTGCAGTATTGAAACTTTGCACGGTAAATTATCTTTATCATTTTTTCTGAGGTCGCATCGCTTTTTATAAGGCACCTTTTTGCAGTCAAACAGGCAAGTATTGGATTACGCTGTTTTCAGTTGGTTATACATGTAACAGTAACTCTGAATATCTTTTAACTTTTTTTGTAGCCTTTGTAATATCTTTATGGGATATATGGATACATTTATACATTATGAAAAATGCAAGAAAAATGCGTTATATACCTAACTTCTAATGGATTATACTAAATATTGATGAATGGCGACTCATTCATCCCCCCTGAATGATCGACTCCCATGCATATAGGCCCATTGAATATCATACCAATGTCTCAAAGAGTTTTGAAATCGTCATCGTCACTGCACTGGCGTACTGATGGGGTTTTTTTTTGGGGGGGGTCAACTTGACCCCCCAAATAAAATTCGAACGTGGAATATTTCTAATTCGATACCAATGATTTACAAATGTTGCTGAAATGATTTTCCGTTTTTCTCTCTCTCTCATGTTTGCCCATTATGCCAGAGGCGGCACTCCCGGTGGGGGGGGGGGGGGAGGGCACTGTGCCATCCAGTTTTTCAGGTACCCGCAAAAAGCACAAGTGCCCCTTTTCTTTTCTGATAACTGTGTCACTTTCCTCTCTTTTCATCTCTGGTGAGTAGGCATGTGTCTTTTCAGGTGCGAGAAATTCCCCTTTTCACCTCTGATATTTTTGCCCTTTTTTTTTAAAACTTTGACTCGTGCCCCTTTTCCTTTTTAATAAGTGTACTTTTCCCTTCTTAATAAGAACCCCCTTCACTTTCTCTTAAATGCCACTTTTCACCTCTGATAAGTGCCCCTTTTATTTTGACACGTGCCCCTTTTCCTTTCTAATAAGTACCATTTTAACATCTGATAAATGCCCCTATCAAAATCTGATTGGTGCCCTTCTCCTCTAGATTCCAAATTTCCATTCTCACGATTACCGCTTTTCATTTCTGTTGAGTGTGGGTCCCTTTTCAGGTGCACCTCTGAAGGCTCTGATAATTGACCTTTTTACTTTGACACGAGCACCTTTTCTTTTCTAATAACTTTCTTAGTTTCTTTTTCCCTTTTGATAAGTGCCTACTTTTGCTTTCTCCATAACATGCATCCCTAGTTCAAGGCGACTTAGAGCCCCTTTTTCTTTAATTTTCCCTAGAGCTCGCTCGCATTTATAGATGTTATATTTATATTACTTATAAAGATTGTGCTTTATACTCATCAGTGTTTTTTTTTTTTTGGGGGGGGGGGGGGTGTCTTCTTTAGAAGATTTCATTTTTTGCACTGGGACCTCACAAATCTTTAAATTTTTGCTCGCTCCCTCGAATATGATATTCAGACCATCACACCTAACTGCAAAATATGTAGCTTAACTAAGCAGTATCGTGTACTACGTAAAGAAAGAAACAAATATTGAAATCATCCCTGGTAGTGTAAAATAAAGGTCACCTTACCCTCCCCCCCCCCCCCCCCCACAACGGAACGAAATATCGATCGGTCTAATGTTCAAATTTTCGGGGGGGGGAAATATTTTTTTTAAGTGTGCTCTTACCCCCCCCCCCCCCTCTCCCGCTTATTCAGCAGCTGACTGAGTCGTTGCGAAATTTTTCATCAAATCCTGGACAACAAAAAATGTGCTCTTACCCACCCCAACCCCACCCCCGAACAGGCGTTGATGAGTATTACCATAGAAGTAGAAGTAGAAATATAGAGAAACGTTGAGGTGATTCAGATTTCTCTGACAAGAACAAAAAAGGTTATGACCCATGTTTCATTTTTTATTGGGGGAGGCACATTTAACGACCCTACTCCTAGAGTTTGTTGCCCATGCCCATTCCTAAGAAAGAAATCTTAGTCTCGATCCAAATAAACACGAGGAGGCGATATAAGTTACTGGTGGATTTTCCAAGTACACTGTTCTGACCCTGCTATAATGACCCCTCCCCTAGCTCCCTAACGCTCGGTCTGATCTTGACACCATGCACATTGCATGCTCAATTCTGTTAGGCCGAGTTGTTTGGGTACCTAGTTGGCATATCGTGTAAGTGACGTTGGCTGAGCTGGAACGCCAAATTAATTTTCCTCCGTTTCAGTTTGCATTGCCCGTGATTACGGTATTTATACAGACTTTCTTTCTTTAAAAAATTGTTCAATTTGTTTATACATTTTATACGTTTTATCAGTTGGAATTTCTTATAATATCTCTCTACCGTCGCGTTCTTATTAACGTTAGAGTTATGTTTAATTTTCTGGAATGTAAAGTCTAAAGATGTCTGTAGCAGATCTCGGCGTAGTGTAGACGTGGATCTAGATCTAGTGCTAATGTTGTGTGTGTATGACTGTGTACGTTGTGTGTGTATACACAAATACACTTTGGGCGACCTTCCACGCAAGCCGCCGTAAGTGGCGCTACAGTTGGGGGGCAGCTGGGGGGCTTCTGGATAGCACCTGAATGGGAAAGTTGAATGAGCGAGAGCTCGTTCGTACTTAGGCCCGCATCTACTGGCGGTGTGGTGAGAGTGCCTCCGTACCGTAAGATCGAACTCACAACTCTGCTCCAGCTAGCTAAAATTCCTTGAATTATTTATATTCTAACTCTAAATCATTCCGTCTCTCACTCTCTTCAATTCAATAAAATCATCTGCATGTTAACATACACGATAATGAATATGTGGGACACCGTTACAACGGCGTCTCCCAAACTTCGATTGCCGAAAACGCACGCAAAACTCGCCAATGACGGACATCATCTACCCATTCATCCATCGTAAATGAAATAAATTTAGACAAAATGAAGTTGAAATGTCCGAAAGCGGCAAGGAATAATAAGTGGTTTGTCTGTGAGAAAGCAATGATCGTTGCATGCAAGATGAAAGCGCAAGCTGATAGAAGCCCCCCAGCGTGTAATGATAAACGTAGAGGGCTCACATCCATGAAAATTCGCCCGTATCGGTGTATATGCGTGTCCAATTTCGAGTGTATTGTGTAATGGACAGTAGATTAAGGTCTAACAGTTAGTCTCTAGATTTAATTAAATGAATAGAATGATATAAGTGACTTTTAGTGACATGATTGAATAATACTTATTAATAGTAAAGCTCCGTTGAGTTTTGTTTGCCACCACTTCTTATGCCATGACCAGAGCTGCCAACTAGTACGGATTTTCCGTAATTGGTACGGAAATCAACGGCAATTACGGAAGCACGGAAACCCCTTCAAAAATTACGGATTCCCCGATTTCTGGACATGCCTATGTATTAACACATGCATTATGCATATGCGAGTGTTTTAGCGGTAATGATTGCGATACTTCCCGGGCCTCGGCCCGGTGGTTAACTTTTGAGCGCACGGAAATATCATCCGCGCCTCAGCCACGACCACTGCACACACATGTAGCTACCATCGAAAGATATGCACACCGCCCTGCCTATATGGGCTGCGTGTGCTAGCTTTCAGCATGCAATATATATCGGGGAGACGGCAAACTCGTCCCAAGTCCATTTAGCCACCTTGCAAACCAACCCGTACGGTACCATGTCCATGTGTAGTTTATAGCAGGTCTACAATTTTTTTCCCCTTAGTGATGGGTTCTCATTGTTATGATAATAAAAGTACGACTCGACTAATGATGAAGATGATGATGATGATGATGATGATGATGATGATAATTGTCATAAGGAAAATGAATGTACTTCCTTGATTAAACTTGAATTTATATTCAACAATTATTGTCATTGTGTTTTATTTCACATTATTTGTTGGATCATGTTTATTCATTTCATTTTATTCATATACCCCTTTTCATTGTTGATAACAAAATATGATACACGAATAAATTTTGAATGAGCTGACACACAAAGTTTTGACCGATACGAAAGCGCATGCATGGTGGATGTGCTGAAACAAGTGGCACGATATTTATCTGGGCGAAATATGCATTGGCCGAGTGTTACACTACCGCATGTGCAGCAGGTCGGCCGTGGTCGCGTCAAACTTCGAGTAACCGACGGAGAAGAAGCGTTCTAAAAAACTGCAAACCTTCTCAGGTGATTACACCAAGAAATGGTCATGCATTGTTCCGTCGAAAAGGAATACAAACAGTGCCTGTTGTACACATTGCTCATCCGATTTTGGAATTGGTCATGGCGGTTCGAACGATATCCAGGTACATCTGAAGTCGGTGAAGCACCGGACTGCAGCGGCGGAGGCAAGTTCCAATTCCCGCAGTCATGACATCGCCCAGTTTTTCGTCGCAAAGGACAATTCTGTCACGAACGCCGAAGTGAAGTTTACTCAATTTTTGATAGAGCACAACATCGCGTTTTCAGCAGCAGACCACCTTTCACAACTTGTCAAAAATGCCTTCCCTGACAGCAAATTTCCGTTGAAGGATCCACTTCTCATGCAGTGGCCAATCTTGAAAGGCGACAGGAAACGCCCTTTGTGTCAGTGGAGTATTTTGTTCGGAGATTCCACTTCATGGAAGATGATATTGACACACTTGAACTGGAATATGCCTCCTCTATGTTAATTGTAAAAACCTGAAGTGAATATACACACGTAAGTGAAACAGGGTAATGATACATCAATCCTCTAATAACCATTGTTTTTTTTATAGCACTTAAAATGATGTTATAAACAGAATGTTCTTGTTTTTACTTCAAGTCCTGTCATTCAGAGTGATGCTATTACCATGGTACTAGTAGTTTGTGTTGTGGTGTTGTGTGCAGCTCTACAGTGTACGTGCAAATGCAGTCTTCTTGATGTTGAAAGCGCCGCGCTTGAAATTACTGATTTCCATCCAAAATTACTGATTTTTAGCTTTCAGATTACTGATTTTGGTTTCAGAGGTTGGCAGCTCTGCATGACGATCATGATGGCATGAATGTGAACACGAAAAGAGCGAGAAAACTTGTATGATACGGAAGTTTTACTTTTAACAGGATTAGTGCTGTAACATCACGGATATCTCCAATTCCGTTTAACCGCCAGTCAAAACCGGACGGTTTTCGGTTAAACGATTTAAAAAAAAAAAAAAAAAAAAAAAAAAAAAAAAAAAAAAAAAAAAAAAAAAATCGTTTTTTTTTTTTTTTTTTTTTTTTTTTACCGACTCTGTCGGCAACTTTCATTTAACTGCGAGGTGCATTTAAAGGGGCCGATTTGTGCTTGTGAACTTGTCACAAATAATAGTAACAATGTTGTTTTTAGAAGAATGTGTAAGATCATTGATATAAATTAAAAACAGTAGAGGACCTAGGACAGAACCTTGTGTAAAAGTTGGATGAATTATTATTATAAACTACATATTGAGATGATGAGATCTATTACAAAGATTACTTTCAAACCAAGATGACAGACAAATTGGAGTGTTGTTCTAGTTTTAGAGTGGTGAGTCAACACACAGATTACTGAGCTGGGAGACATTGCCAGGCATAGTGCCAGGTGGAGGGGCATAAATCGAAACTTTAAAAAAAAAATTTAAAAAAAAAAAAAAAAAAAAAAAAAAATGGGAAAACGAAACCGTCCAATTGAAAACGGAATCCGCCATGGGCGGTCGGATACCGGACGGTTAAACGTTTGACTACAGCACTAAACAGGATCAGCTCTCGGCTCAGTCTCACTTCCGTACACTGCACTGATGCTGATGACTGGTGTGAATGTGATGATGGGGGTAGTGACTGCACTGTCACTGTGTCTCACTGTGCGAATGAATTGACAATCGTGATATTGTTGTTTACCGTAGTTGGGTTTTTTTCTTTTATTTCTGCAATGTAATGCATGAGATGTCACTGTTCCATAACCTAATTATTTGATGAATTGCATTGTTTTTATTGTTTTTGTTATTCATGGAACAATGACATGTTTTGTCTTATTGAAAGCACTGGCAAACAAGGGCACAATCTTCATCTATCTGTTGCCATTCCTATCTCTTCAATAAAGCAAACGGTTACAAACCACTTATGATAATAAATTTTCTCATGAGTGTTCACCCCCACAATTTTCTGGTCTTCTTCATGCAATTATCTAACCATCCTGAATTTGGAAGGGCACATGGCAGGCATTGACAGTCAGACAGGGTACTGCCAATAGTAGAAGATTTCCAAAAACTAGAGTACTAGACGTGTGATAAAGAATTACACTGTACCTTGTGATGAAATTTTCCAATGGAATTTTAAAGTTGAGGTTGTTTATGTATCATCTCTGAGCATTGGACCTATCTTCAAGCCAATGACTAACAAGATAAGTACTTCTCCAAGAACAATGTCAATAGCACTTTTGACAATATATAAATTGTCCAGGGATAACTTGGGTGTACCATACAGCCTATGAAATGTTATTATTTCTTTAGCAAATAGGCCCGTTTGAAATGTAAATGTTCTAATTTACAAATTTTTGTTCTTTTTTCCCCTCTTTTTTAATTTTTCCAGGATAAACGGATCAAGAGGATATCAAGTCGAGACAGTAGAAATCAACTTCCACAATGAGTAACGTGCAGCCACCCCCAAAAATAGTGCTCAAAAGCACGACCAAACTTACTCTAAATGATCGGTGAGGAGAGAAAGACTTGCTGAAGAAAGCAAGCAATTGTTCAGAAATGCCACTCCTGTATACAAGATATACAGAGATGAAGAATGATAGAAGTGGTTAAGAAACAGAAATGATGGAAGAAATGCATTGCTCCAAGAAGGAGCTAGATAATTGATGCAATTTATATTTACCTATAGGCCTGCAAATATTGAAAATTTGAAACAAATTGAAATGGAGGTAAAGAGAAAGGATGAAGAGTTTAAAAACTCATAATTTAGAATTGAAATTAAGGCCTGATATAGGTAAAAGTTTCTTCACCACTGAATGATTATGGCTGCCATTAAACCAATGTTCACACCTCTTGTTTAATGTTTTCAATAATGCTAAACCTTGATTTCTTGAAGAAAGAAAACTAAAAAGACTTGTCTATGAGGATTGGTTGTGAGACACGTCCACAACAATTCCATTTGGATTCAATGTGACACATTTCTGAACTTTCAAATACTAGTAGAATGGGAGGTGTATATCAGAACAAGGCAGTTCTGTGAATCTTTCTATCATTCTGTGGGCTTTTGTAGCTCATAATATTGTTGATTCATGGCAGCAAAACTGACCGATGAAAATCACAATATCCTTTTTAATATTAATTAAAAAGAAAAGGTGGCATCTCTTCTCTGAACAAGTGAGATACCTGTATAAAGTAAACTTGTATGTTGAAGAGTGGCAAATGATTTGGACAAGTGTTTTGAATACATGTCAGTGTTACTGTACGATGTGATTCATATCACTTGGAGTTCCATACATGTGCATGTCATTGAATTCCTTGTGCAAAGTCAATTATACTCGAGCCCTGCACACTAAACATGACGTACAGTGATTATTGAATACATACCAGTCAAACTGGTGATGTGATTCATTTTCACTTGTATGTGTGCAAAATTATTTTGATGAATACACAGAAAATTAAGTGTTATCAACTTCTGTCTCTGCCCACCAATTTACCATGGCAAATTAAATCTTGAGTATGTACCAGTGAAACTGGTGAGCTGAATTAGTAACAAGAGTGCAAATCTCTTTAACAATTCAGACTTAAATCAAATATGATGAACGAAATATGCAAACCTCTTTTCTTCATCAAATAAGCATGAGGGCTAGTGAGATGTTGAATACATACCAGTGACACTGTGTGATGTGATTCATACTCACTCGAACATGCAAAGTAATCATGCAGAAGTCAAATATGATCAAATATTATCAATTTATAGATCTACAAAGCCCTCCAATATTCAAAGAATGAGAGCAATTGAGCTGTGATTCAATACATACCAGAGAAATTGGTGATGTATTTCTTTTCCATTACTAACTTTGCAAAAGAAGTAAAGTAATGTAAACCTCTTCACATGTCATTTGAAAAGAAAACAAAGTGATATTTGACAACATACCAGTAAAACTGGTGATATTGTTCATAATTTAGACAAATCTCTATAAATCATGCAATATTGAAGTGTCATCGGCCTCTCCATATCTTGCGATGTTACATTCTTCCAAGAACAAATTGATGTTGGGATACATACCAGTAAAACTGGCGATGTCTTTCTCTTTTATCAATGCTTACACAAAAGTCAAGCAATGGAAACCTCTGCATATGTCCTTGAATGAGAATTGAAATGAAATATTACTACATACCAGTAAAACTGTTGATTTAGTTCAGCAGCAAATTTTAACTCAGCATGTGTTTTCCAATATCACACATGGATATTCTAAATTGAAATGGAATACATACCAGTGAATCTGGTGATGTAATAGATATTATCATAATTAAGAGAGGAGTTCCAGTGCTCCAATGACATCTTGGGCTCTGAGATTCTAGTTGTAATGTGCATCTTGACATACTGTTTTCCTGATGGGCTGTTTAGTTTATTGCTTTTTTTTTTATGATGAAAGAAATAATATAATACAAGGAAAAATTGTGGTGCTAAGAAAGCTCATTGGGAACAAAAGAGAGAAAATGACAAAAGCAGAGGTTTGTGAAATTAAAAAAGATGATAACACATTGCGCAAGATGAGGCATTAGATCAATATTGCATGATGGATATTGAATGCCTAGAACATAGGCTTGACTTGCACAAGTGAAGAAATTGATAAATATTGACAAATACACATGAGTTGGTTCACACATGTGGTGATACATGTGATGATCTGGCCATCACACTCATATTTCCACCTCCCCCCTTCATCCGAATCGACACCTTCGACGATACGGGACACAGGTTTACCAAGATGATCAAGGCAGCGCCGGTATCTCCAACAGCAAGGAAAGCTGGTGCAAGGCAAGACACTCAAGTTTCTCAGGCCAATCGTCGACTTGCACAACAGATGCAGAATAGACCCTCTGTTAGGGCAGCATTAGGCATGCAGGCACCTCAGCAGAATCAGCCTCGGCCTCAGGTATGCTGGCAACCTCAGCACTTTTATACTTGGTCAGATTTGTTTCATGCACGGAGATAAGAATATACTTCAAAAGGCTTTGTTTTGTTTGGTTGATTTTTGTTGTTGATGGCAATAGTGACAGAAGCAATCTGCTTTTTGGGAACTAAAAAATACCACTTACTGATTACCTACTACATTCTGAGTGGTCAAAAGGCATTAGTGTTAGCATTCAAGTTTGCTATGGGTTCTTGTTCCTGGAGAAGATGGTTTAAATGAAAAGATTGTTGCTTGAATCTTTGCTTCTACATATTATCCATTTCAATATGTGCCAAGGCAAAGAAACTAAAATGACTTGTGTAGCGATTCAGGTTACATCTGCTACATCTCAATTATTACAACATGTCTATATGTTTTTTTTTGTTGTATGAAATAAATTTTTTTCTTCCTCAAACAAATATAAAACCAAAACACAAATTGTTGGGACCTGCCTAAGAATTGTTAACAGCATCTGATAAATGAAGCTATCACTGTTCGCACAGGTCAATAGACTTATTTTCCCTACACCTTTATTTGTATACCTTCAGCAGCAGCAGCACCAGCAGCAAATGCCAAAGCAGAGTGTGCAAGCCAGACTGGGTGCTGCCACCCAAGGACAGAGCATACAGCAACGCCTGGGCAACATGAGGGGAAGGGGCGCTGGTATGAGAGGGAGGGGGGCTATGAGGGGGAGGGGGGCTGGAAGGGGTGGTATGATGCAAAGAAATAATGCACAGGTGGGTATGGAAAACATGGGTGGTATGGGTATGGTCAGAGGGAGGGGTAGAGGAAGGGGCATGATGATGAGCAGGGGAGGTATGATGGGGCCAAGGCAAGGGCTTAGGAGACCCATGGGACGAGGGATGATGGCTAAGCAAGGACAGAGGGGCATGAGGGGGGGTAGATACATGGTCCGGGGGCGAGGAGGGGCGATGGCAGCAGCGGGTGGACGAGGCGGAGGGATGGCCCGTGGAGCAGGCAGAGGGATGACGAGAGGAGGTATGCAGAGAGGAGGTATGCAGAGAGGGGGAATGCAGAGAGGAGGGATGGCGAGAGGGGGAATGACCAGAGGTATATATATATATATATATGTATTTTTTTAATATTTTTAAAATAAATATTTGATTGTTTTAAATTTTCAATCATATAAAAGTTACATATTTACAAGTCATTGAGGTTTTTTTCTTACTCGGTGCTGTAGCTTGTGGAATCAAAAACTTATTTGACAATGTTTTCTATTTTCCGGGATATTGCACTGTTTTAATAAATACATTTTTTAAATCAATACACCCCTTCACGGTAAAGGCCACCATTTTAATTTGCGAGTAAACATTGCATCATCAATGTTTTCAGACGTGCATGGGTTGTAGCGTCACTACCTGCGCTTCGTGTCACACCATTTCGACATGTGTGCTTTACATGCTGCATAAAATAAAAGTTACTTGCAATTTAAAATGGCGCCCATGTCAGCGCATGCGCAAAAGCGTAAAAGGGTGTATTGAAATAAATGTACTATTAGATACAAATGAATGTAATATAGTGAACCAAATACGATTCTATCAGTTGCTTTGTAATGCAATCTCTCTAAAGTATGATATTAACATGATTTTGTTAGCAGGTTCAAATACATGTATAAATAATGTTAAAGGATAAATCAAATGCTTACAGATAAACATTGATTTTTCACCAACAACAGGGGATGATACATGCAATTCAAGGACATTATGTAAACAGTAAAATGTACCGGTAACCACTGATTATATACTGTTCACAGTTGATAATCACAGAAAATATTCTTACCATGATTCTGATGTTTTATTGGCTGAATCATAGCAACTAAGATTTTTCCCATACATGTATCCAGTATTGCCTTTGATGGGCCAAAGTGCAGTAACCTCAGTGCTTTTTAGTTGACTCTTCCTCTCTCTCTCTCTCTCTCTCTCTTGTAGGAGCCATGAGACAGCAGCGAGGACGAGGAGCCATGACAGGAAGAGGCGCCGCGGCAGGAAGAGGTCGCCAGGCACGAGGGCGTGGCATGAGGGCACGTGGTGGTGGTAGGGGAGCCCAGAGGGGGCGTGGTGCTGGTGCCCCTAACCCCACGATGACCAGAGAACAGCTGGACAATCAACTGGACGCTTACATGTCGAAGACCAAAAACAGTCTGGATGCTGAGCTGGATGCATACATGGCTGACTCCTAGGGCCTGCTGCATTGTTTTGTTTTTGCTTTGAAATATGTACTCTTTTTCTAAGTCACTAGATGTCAAGGGGCATAGAGGATCTTCAAGAAATCCTGTATATAGTTCTTTTTATATGCACTGATTTAGGGAAGAAGAAATCAATATTCTGTTACCTGTTGTGGGATTATGTAACGTTAACATTCAAGATTTTTAGAAATATATGTACGATTCGATTGGGAGTAAAAATATGATTTTTTTTTTAAAAGAAGAGACCCTATTTCACTTTCCCTTTGGAGAATTGCAGATTTACAATATTAAATGAAAGTCTCTTTATTATTATATACTCTGTTCCCAAAGCCTTCAGCTCTGTATGTAGATTGTATCTTTTTAATACAGGGCCCTTGGACAGGCCAAGGAAAAAGAATCATTTTCAAACTGAAAACAGATGCTAGGCTTGAACTGTGCACATTTTATTGACACATGTATTTTTTAAAGAAAAATAGTTTTTACTTCTCGATTATCAACATTAAAGAGGACAACAAAATAATAATTAGATACTTTAACTGGTCATCAGTTTATAGTGCCCAAGAAAGTGATGCCTGTTTGTCAACTAAGTCCACTCAAATGAGTTAAGAACAAGTTTGCTAAGTCTTGTTGAATTCAGGTGCATTTTTAAGATGCAATTACATATACTAAACAGAGTTTTTGTTTTAAGAGCCACTGCATTGGTACAAGAAAGAAGTTGCAAGTATTCTTTTTACATGTGTCCTATCCATCTCTTCTTTTTTTAGCAAAAAAAGGCGAACTATCTCACCACAATCTTCCACAGCATCTTGTATTGAAATTGTAATGTTGTATCTACTCAATAGAAGTGTTGCTGAAAATGTTTGAAACTGCCATATGAAAGGTTGAAATCATGTACATCATGTAATGCGCATTCATTTGCTATTGTATTTGTAGACAATATAAAATCTCTACATAAGGCCCAACCTCATTTTGGTCCGCAGTTATGTTAATTGCTTTAAGTTTTGTGAGATGAATGAATGCATACCAGTAACTGTACATATAACTTCAATCCCAATCTCACCACGTATGGCAAATATTTCCCTGATTTGTCTGTAATATCACATTTAATCATCCAATTACACCACAAGATTGATATGTTTAGAAAGTGTTATGAAGCGATCTCAAGCATGTGAACGAATTATAGAATAAGAAGAGACCTTGAAATGGTAAGCTACAGTAAAACCAGGAAAACAAACATATTTTTCTTGTATTCTAAGACTACACGGTTGCAGATAAATTCTGGATCTTTTAGAGTTTAGGCTACCATAATAGCCTTTGTTAATCATTGCAGCTGGTAAATACAAATATTGTCAACATGAATGCAGTATTCTATTTGAGTTCATTCATTTCCAAACACAAAATAAAACACTATATCATGTTGACATGTGCAGGGCATGTTTGATAATCGTTTTAAACGAACTTACAATCAATTAATGTACAACATGACTTGGATCACAAAGAACTAGCAGTTATGTCAAATTTTCCATAATGTACGAGCAATCGCATAATTTGATTTTTTTTAAAAATTACCAAACACCTGAACAAATCATATCAAGAATTACCGACATAAGTTGAAATTTTATAAATGCTCTAATACGATCTGTTCCATAATTAGAGGAAGAAGGGTAACAAAAATCAGGGAAATGAATCATAGGGGGCTATGTTAGTAGTGTATCCTATATTTTGAAATGACATGACAGTGTTGGGACCTCCACCCCCAAGCTTAAGATATTCCTTTGCCTTATAAATTGTGAAATGTATGTTAATTTAAAATTCCACATCATCCAATTGTTTTGTATTCCAGGTACCTGTCTTATAAAGAGTTCCAATTTGGATAAATCACAAGTGCTGTAATCAATCACAACTTTGCAGTCTTCTATCTCTAATGTACATAGTTCAGTTGAAATCAACTCTTTATAAGACAGGGCCCCAGGACTGTGTATATGTTATCATTTTCTTTGTATTTATTTATGAACTTATACATGTCCTTTTTACATTGTTTAGATTGAAAAGAATTATGGTGTTACTTGTTGTGCGATTTCATGATTATACCATAGTGCTTCTTTCAGGCATTCATTCAGAAATATGCAGCAGAAAGATTTGATAGTACATGGTGTAGACAACCAGCGCACATTTTTTTAACAGTTGGATGTAACCTTTTTACATTTGTTTTGAACCTCCATTATCAGACTTTTTGATGCATATGTATAATGGCATACTAGGACAAGTATATCCAGAGGCGTTGCTGAACGTGCCAAGTGAATATCTGATCAAATTCCGGGGGGGGGGGGGGGGGGGGGGGGGGTGAATGGGGAAGATTTTGTTAATAAGATTATATAAGCTTGCTGACATAAGTTACAGTTTGACCACTTGCAAGTCGTAAGATTCAAAATCTTGCGGACATATGCAACACCTCTGCATATACTTGTTCATTTGCATACTTATCAAAGTGTGATGTTCATTGTGCTTTGTGTTTTGATAATAAAATGCTATTCAATAATACACTTCTTCATAAGTTTATTTGGAGTCTTTTGCATGTCAGATTCATTTAATAGACTATAATATCATGAACTTAGTACTTTTCATACAGGAATTTTAAAACTAATATTTTTAGGCAATGCTGTGAAATGTGTCCCACACAAGATGTATTTTATCCATAAATAATTTTTTTGAAAATGAAAAACCTCTTGTCGCCATCAATGACTATAGGTACTGTGCTGATACCATAACTTGTAAAAAAAAAAACATTGATCAAAGGTCATATCACAAGAGTTGTCGTTATTGGATGGAGAAAAAAATGGATAGATGACCTATGTCAAACAAGACACATCTCACAGTATTGCCCGTTTGTTGTAATTTAGATGCTATTTTCTTCAGTTTCAAAAACCACAAATAAAGATTAGATATACATGTACTTATATGAAATATTTGGTTTCAATTCAATTCTTGCTTTTTCATAAATAGCTAAAGTAAAACAACCAGGGCCCAGCATGTTATTGTAGAATCAATGCCAAGGAAGCTATGAGTGGTTACATGTATTGCACTTGAGACTTTTTAGATAACATGACGAAATGAGAATAGTTTTTTTTATTAGAAACATTTGAACTTTACAATGTAGAATTCTGAGCTAAATTTATTTTTGCTATGTTATTAGAAATCGGCATTGACACCCCTCCCTCCTTCATCTATAAAGAAATAATAGAAACTTGTTTTTCATGCATAATACATTAGAGACATATTGAAGAAACTAATGTATACCTAATTAGGAAAAATATGTTGTTGCACCAAAAGTAAGGCCATGAAACATTGTACATGTCATCAATGGGCCATTTTCGTAATGTAACCAAATTTAATGCATAAGTCTTTGTGAATTTCTCCTGATAAGAATAATAGTATTTCAATAGTCCGAATGCAAACTACATATATTAAGTGTAGCTAGGTAGGTCAAGCCATAATGTTGTCCAACCTGGCAACAACTAATGTATGCAGTTCGGATTCTGTCTATTGAAATACTATTATTCTTTTCAGGTGAATGAAATAATATGTATTGAGGCACTTCACAAAGACTGATGTATTAAATTTGGTTACATTACGAAATGGCCTATTCAAATGCACACTGAAATTACTTTGCAGCTTATATACCACATCTTCTGCTTATCAGTGTCATTGATAATTCAAAGTGTTTTCTCATAGTTTTGTTATATTATTCAATGTAAATGTGTCTACAGGGTCATATATTAAATAAATATATTTGTATGCCAGTACAGTGGAACCTCGTTATATCGGGGTAAACAAAATATATACATATAAAAAGCTCTTTATATCGAAGCTCTTTATAATGAGGTTCCTTTATATTTCTATACTCGCATATCTGAAAAAGACAAAAATCAAAGCAAAAGTAGTGATCCTTTTGGGAAGTAACATAAACTTGGTCTGTAAATAAATCTACCCTCTTAAACTTAAAAATTGCAAAGTACAGATTGATACTTCAGGCAATAAAAACAGACATATTTTTACTCCCAATAATTGTTAAAGAACATACATGTATATACATATTCCAATTTCAATTTATTGGTCCAAAAGGAAATTGGTTGTGTTTACATGCATTATTCACAGAGAAAAATAAATGTACATGTGACATGATACATACAACATAAAACCAGTATATAGAGATAATGAACATAAAGAATGTTAACATTCACATTATATAGGGTCTAGATAGTTTCTCTAAATTTACAAATATTCCATGTTTGTTCATATATCCAGAGTAATTACCAACACAATATAACATTGTAATTATTACTATTATTACTATTTTTGTAATTGTTATTATTATTATTAGTTTGACTCTATCATTATAATACAATATTGTTATTAGGCAAACAATAAACCACAAACAGTTTAACAATCAAAAGAATTTATCATAATTATTTTCAGTATGGTGGAAAAAATCATATATCCTAGTAAGTACAAGTAATGTTCACATCTTCTGGAGGAATGCAATACCCTATTCTGATAAATCCACAACAATCATTGTCCCTATAAATGAGACCTAAATATAAATGCAGTATGTATGCAATATCAATACTTATTGAAGGCAATATGAAATAATCATCAATGAAATGAAAGATAGTATGACATGTGAGTAGAAATACAAGAGACTTTTTAATTTCATAAGAAAAGATGGCTATTGTAAGAAATTAAATATATTTGTCCTATAGAATAAATGCAAATAAGTTTTTGATCATTTCCTACAATCAAATAGAAAAGAATATAATACAAAAAGCACTGAAGAAAAATCTTTCATTTCATAGAACATTTAATGTCCAAATAGTGGAGAGATGAAATATATTGATCACCTAGAAATATTTGCAATTTAGTTTACATTTAATTTTGGCTTTGACTCATTTGCGACAATATTATTGACCACATTGTGTAGTTTGTCGTGTTTCCATGAAAACTAAGACGTCTGTTGACCTAGGAGTTCGTCAACCCTTGCATGATCTGTAAGTTTCAACAAAAGTTGAAATAGAAACCAGAAGATTTAGGAAAGCCTAGATAAAAGGATAAGAAAGTTCTAAACTTTTAGAGCATCACATAACCTACTGTTTTATGCGTTAATAAAGTTTGAAAACCAAGAAAATAGGTTTAGTGCGTCCGAATTTCCTTATAGTTTGGAATACCGTAGTACAACTATACTCTACAAAGAGGACTGTACTCGGTGGAAGAAGAAGAAGACAAATATAATAGGCGCGTATTTTTTCAGGAGAGAGCTTCAGAGGAGAGCGTAACGTAGTTTTGTCATCACTTCAGAGATACCATACTGTTATGGATTTTGTGAATCGAAGCCACTGCTGACGTAGTAAATCTTTGACTTGACGGAAGTGAGTACGGTACGTGCCAGAATAACATCATCGCCAATTCGATAATCTTCATCTTTATCGTAAGTACTATTTGATCATTTCTTCATAATATGGTATGCAACATTCATGGATTCTATAACCGTAAAACACGCACCAAATATCACGGATTTACGTGTCTAGTATCGTGATAATAGATTCCGTAATCTGCTGATCACAGCGTAATGCTGCGCTGTGTGCGACTGCAGGGGTACACTCCCATTGGTCGTTAGCGGCCAAGCCCCCGTACCCGCCTCCGCCCCGAAGCCGATCGGTTTGTTTACATACAAGTCCTATGTAGGTCGGTTGCATCATGTTTTGCTGTATGTTGTGAATGAGTATAGACGACTGATTTTGATTTACATCTACACATAGACTAGTTTGTGATATGGAAACACTGCACTGATAGTGGTATTATTTTCTGCAAGATAATTGGGAGGATTTGGGGCTAGATTCATATGGACACATTTGACATTTTACATACATGTGTAGATTCTATGCATGTTCACGCGTATACTGAACCTGCGAAGGAAAATATGTTGCCATATTTGCTAGTTCAGTTTGGGTGTCTATGATTACATCAAATGCGTTATGCAGAAATTAGACCAATTTGTTTCCCTCCTGTGCATTAAATGCTACATAGAGGACAGTATGTAAATTGTTATGCTTGTGAAGATAATGCAATATTGATGCCAAAAAAAGAGTTGAAAAGAAGTGGTGTGTCTGATGTCTTCATTGGTGTACATGTAGATACTTATTCTTTGTTGTTGTTTTTGTCTTTTTTTATCGGTAGTCTTCTTTTTGATTTACAGATTATTTAGCAAGTTTTCATATGAACATCTTTTTTTGGTTCATCTCAACTGCCATTATCAGACGAAGAGGAAACTGACTGAAACAATGATGAACAACAACAATCATTTAGTCAACCTGAATCCACATCTGAAGAAATACGATGAAGACACTCTGTTTCATATTGGATTCTCATCCGCACAGGATAATCTACCAGAGATGTTTGGTGATGTCAAGGTATTTAGATCTGAATAATGTCAAAGATTTGTCATCCTGTAGACTATGGTAGTTCAGGTTGACCTGTTTGAATAAACCATTTTTGTATTTAAATGTAATCAAATTTAAAGCACAAATCTTTGATAAGTACCTGGTTAAAATTATTTCATTCACCTTTTACGAATAAGTATTTCAATAGTGAGAATGCGAATTGCATACATTAAATATTGCTAAACATTATGGCTTTTCCTACCTAACAACGTCAACATGTCTAGACAAAGGACATTAGTACTTGGCTGGGATTTGAACCCTGTACCTTGTGATCTACAGTCCGTTGACTTATCCACTAGACCACAGCACTCTAGGGAGTGAAGATTGTGCACACAGTGTGTGCAGGCAAGCACCGAATCCAATGACCGGGGTAATAGTATATTTGTAAAACGCTTAGAGACATTTGTATTAAGTGCTATTTAAAAGCTAAATATTATTACAAGGTATTGATATGTAATACATAATTATAAAAATTATAATAATTATTATTTAATCTTTTTCATTCATGTCCAGTTTGTATGTATGGGGGGCACTGCTGGTAGGATGAGGAAGTACTCTGAAGCGTTTTCCCGTGAGCTGGAGGTAGAATGGACAGATTACACAAAAGGCGAGAGATATGGTATCTTTAAAGCTGGCCCTATCCTCTGTATAAGTGTAAGTTTATGAAGCTATTTCTATTCCTACGTCATTTTTTAGTCCATTTCTACTAGAGACATGTTGTATTTGAATTTGTGTGTGTGTGGGAGGGGGTGCGCATGAGCATGTATGTTTTGTGTGTTTGTAAGGCCTAAACAAACGAAAAATGTATTGCCCTTTGCGACCGACGCAAAAATCTTAAAATCTACAGTCAGCTCTTTATTAAAGTTTTTTATTAAAAAAATGTTAATAAATAAAAAAAAATATGTATTAAATCATTTAAAACTGAGAAATATCTGCCCAAAGAGGGGAAAAAGCAACAACAGCAAAAACAAAAACAACAAAAAATTGACCGACCGACCCAGGTGCTGGCACCTAAAGGGCAATACAACATCTTTTTTGTTAGGCCTGATCAACCAGGCTTCTAAATAAGATGAAGGGGCATCCTATACATAATGTAGATTAGACATGTCAGTGCATGGTTAAAAAATATAAAATGTTGGGTCACCTCTAAGAGTTTCATTATGCCAAGCAGACAAGCGGTTCAGTATTGTTGTTCCCATTGGGTAATGCTTACATTAAAAAAAATCACATCCAATCCATATAATAATATACAGTCATTTTACACAGCCTCTTCGTCGGTTTACACACAATTACATATCAATTCATCTTTTTTTCTTCTCTATAGCATGGAATAGGAAAGCCTTCAGCATCAATTGTCCTCCATGAAGTCATCAAGCTAGTGAATTACGCTGGCTGTCAAGACGTAGTCTTTATACGCATGGGGACATGTGGAGGAATCAACTGCGAAGCAGGAACTGTCGTTGTCACTAATAAAGCTCTAGATGAAATGCTTAAACCTGAATATAACTTGGTAAGATAATAAATCAATGGAAAATATGAAATTTGGTTCATTTATATAGTAAAGTTTACGGATATTTACATTTTAGGAATGCTCACTGCTTTGTGAATAGAACAGCTGCACTTTTCACTTCCTGAGGTTGTTTTCCATCTCACAAATACAAATCTATCAGTGATAATTTTATATATCACCAGCCATCGTGACTAAGTACCGGTATTACAAAAAAGGAAATGGCAACAAAAAATTGTAAGTGAAACTGTTTTAGTATTGATTTCCTGTGTTGCAACCCAGAGCATGCACTGACTTAGTTGTCAAGATTCAAGGAATAACAATAAGAAAAGAATGCACATTACAGTGTACATTGCTCATCATCCGTGAAGAAGCATTTAGTTGAAAGACGTGCTCTCCTCACATTCTCATTACTTGATGATGACTTTAATTCATTGGTGTGTTGAGGTTTTTCAGTTATTTGTTTCAGTCATTTGTTCAGGTTTTCAGTCATAATTTAACCACTCTTTTGGCTGTACTATACCGGGGGTGTTTCATAAAGCTGTTCTTTAAGTTACGCATGAATTTACAAACGACTTGTATATGAAGTGCCAGATAGGATGCCCAAAGTTTTTTCTGATATTTTCAATAACCTCAATTAAATTATGGCAAACTAGATGGAACTTCGACTGCGTGCAGTCGAAAATGATGCCTCCGTCATAAAGCAATTTTACAAACCAAAACAGAAGAAATTTTTAAAATTCAAGTTCAATTGTAATCCATTAACAGGTTCTCAGAATATCGTGATTATACAAGCAATTTCTCATATACATATATGACCCTTTGATCTTTGACCTCATGACCCTAAAATCTACTCAGTTCATTGGCTCTGCAAGATGTCCTGAGTTAAATAGTAATCCATCTGTCAGTTCTAATGAGAATGCGTTCACAAGCTATTTTTGCATACATAATGAGCCCATGACCTTTGACCTTTGACCTCATGACCCAAGAATCTACTCAGGTCATTGGCTCTGCAAGATACATACATGACCAAAGTTTGGCAGGAATCCATCAATCGGTTCTTCAGATAACGCGATCACGAGAACGGGACGTACAGACGGACGGATGGACAACCCGAACACATAATGCCTCCGGCTACTTCGTAACGGAGGCATAAAAATATACTTTGCATGAAACATGTTTGTTATCATAAGAATGTTAATCTACATCTGCATAGTTCAACTTTAGTTGATGTATTTAATAATGATTGAGCATCCTATTTGGCTTTTCATATACAAGTTGTTCGTAAAGTCATGCGTAACTTTACAAACAGCTTTATGAAACACCCCCCCCCCCCCCCCCCCCGGGTCTCTGTGTGAAATCAGAAGTACTCCATAAAATATCCTTTTAATCAAGTAGAATGATTGATTTGCAAAACATCATCACATAGGAAAATGAAATAAGATGCTATGTTATTTCTGCTTTAGCATGTTTTAGGTAAGTTGATCACCCGTCCCACCCAGCTGAGCCAAGAATTAGCAGAGGATATTATATCATGTAAGCCATCCAGCAATAACTTCAGCATTATCAGAGGGAATACATTGTGTACATCGGATTTCTTTGAAGGTGAGTTAGGTACTTCGGGTGCACTTGTAAATTGTAAAGGTAGACCTGAACCCAGGTCTGAGACAATAAATGCAGGGAATAAATAACTTAAAGGTATTACAAAGTTTTGGTATGGGGTCATGAATTTTGTTCAAATGAACATATTGGAAGGAAATGCGATCCTACAATATTAAGTGATCGTTGTCGCAGTTGAAAACGAGTCTTAAGTTTTGAAATTATAAATAATAAACTCTTTATGTTGTATAGCTCCCTCTCAAGGTCAAGATATTAATTAAGCTATAAAACAATGTTTCAAAACTTAAATCGACCAATTAGCTATTCACGTTTGGAAATTATATATCACAACTACATATTCTGAGATTTTCATGATTGCAGCTAACATTGTTTGGCCGTAGGCACTATTTGAAATTTATCAAAATTTACCGGGTGCACCGGTAAATTTTTATATCCAATTTTTCTCAAAAGCAGAAGTGTTTTAAGGGCTAATTTTTCAAGTGCTTCTAATACATCCACATGGGGATCCAAATATATCAAGATGGTAAAGAATCATTATCCGCCCAATTTTCAAAACTTTGTATTACCTTTAACCCTATTTTAACTGGGCTATTTCAGACCAGGTTTTTACTGGGGGGGGGTCAATTTGACCCCCCCCTAAGATCTCGGCCGTTTCACCGCCGATCGCCGCGAAAATTTGCATGCATGTCAAGTGAAGTGTATAGAATACTATGGTAATTTCAAATTTTTGAAAAATTCACTCATTTGCATATTTATGGTAATTTATGCAAATACGGTCATAAAATTCACATTTCGGCCCATAAATCATAGATTATTCATATTTAAGTATTCTTTTTCACTACATATATTTATTAGACCATTTGGAATAATAATACAACACAAAAAATTGGAAGAGCCAGGTTATTCCTTATGTTATCTCTTGTTTTTATAATTTCTTATGTATTTCATTGTTTTTTTAACTTATGTATTTTATTGTTTTTGTTGTTTTATTTCATTTATAACTACAATTCAACTATTTTGACCCCAAAACAAACATCTAAACTTTAAACAAGACTGAATAACCAATGTTTTATGTATTTTTAGGAAAAATGACTTTTACATATGTTTTGTACACAAATCACGAAAATGAGCGATTTTCGGGCTGACATGCAAAGACAAAAGGTCACGCGACCTTGTAACCGTAGGTCCGATTTTCAAAAAAATTGTTTTAAAAGATGCGTAAGACTCGAAAGTAAAAAGTCATGAGAGGAAAATTTTATATCTGCCGCGGTTTCGGAGTAGTCGCGAAATTTCTACAGGGGGGGGTCAAATTGACCCCCCCCCAGTTAACGTAGGGTTAAAGAGATGCTTCCATGAAATTTTGTCATATACATATGAATTGATGAATAAATATAAGCAATATGTTAGATGTTTTACATAGGTTAAACGAATGATTTAGGATCATTTGCTTAACAATACTCAGATGTACTGTTATCCGCAGCCTTATGCGGAACTTATAAATTGTACCCCCACTCTCCAATATTATGCTCGAATTCAAAATATATACATGTATCTTAAAAACCAAGAGATCTTTTTTTCTATTTTTGTTAAATACCCTATTCCATTACTTGTTCATTACTGGCTCTTTTGTTGTGTTGTACTGCGAGATTAAGTTGTAAGGTGATAAGCAGTCACCACTTTGAATGTAATTCATTGTGAAGTTTGTTCTTTTGCAGGTCAAGCACGTCTAGATGGAGCATTCTGCCACTATGAAGAGGAAGATAAGATGGAATACTTGAAGAAAGTCAGAGATGCCGGAGTAAGAAACATTGAAATGGAATCAGCGGTGGTTGCTGGTCTGTGTAATGCTGCACAAATTAAAGGTATTGTATAATGATATTAAAAACAACTATGGTCCTCTTTTTAATCTGTTGGTTATTGAGCTGTGCGAGCTCACTTCTTGACTCATTTGCTGCCTCTTTTGGGCATTCACATTCCTTGTTTTTGTTAGCAGCCTCATAAAAGAATCACCTTAAGACAAAATGATGCTAGTTTTCTTTCTATTTTGTTGACAAATATCAGAAATGATAATTAATGTTATCATTTAAGTTGCTTGGTGGTAAGGAATTGTGTTTATGGATTGAACAAGAAATGTGACAATAGTGCGTAGGCATTTCCTAATGACTCATCTGCACATCTATAAAATGAGACAAACACGTTGAAAGTAAAATGAAGAATAATCCTTCAGCATGCTCTTTTAACACATTCCTGCTTTCCATTGCCATGAGACTCTATTTTTTTCCTTCTAAAATCCAATTTTTAAGAATGTTTTAAGGGGAATATGGGAAATTATTATTAAAAACTGTATAATTTACGCCTTCTTGTCCTGCTTCCCACTTCAGCTGCTGTGGTTTGCGTAACTCTGTTGGACCGCCTGAAGACAGACCAGATAACACTCACGCACGATCAGCTTTCAAATTACGAGAAACGACCGATGGATGTTATTCTTGCTTATGTCAGTAAGAAATTAGGAAAGGGCAGAAAATTATAATCACAAATATCTATTTTATGATTTTTGTAAATAAAGGGACATAGGGATAGAGCTTTGCTGTTAGGATTTTACTCAGCTTGTAGAAAGATTTAGTTCATCTTCTGCTGACTAGTAATTACATAGAGGAAATATTTTTGTAATATGCACTTGTCATATATGAATAGTGGTTTAGTTTGTGGAATAAGAACGTCAGCATTATTGTATTCTCTGGTTGAAGACCTTGTGCATTGTTGTATTTGAATACATATTTATAAGACATTTTCTAGCATCAGGTAAAAACCTGTCATAGTTGTATTCTACAATGTGCTGCTAATTGATAGCTCGATTGTCATAATCAATTCCACACAAAAATAAGATTCTGATGTCATAGATTTGCTGTAGATGTTTTTTACTGTAAAAAATATACACCTAATATATTGGCCAAAGAAATATTGATCAGGTATTCACTTTATAAAGAAATGCAGCTTCTGCACTAAATGCTTATCCTCATGAGATAACTTTACATCATTCCAAGTCATCTTCCTTATCATCATTGACACATGCAGAGTTTGTATTGTTATATGATACAGCTGATTTGTGTTTTCTTTTAAACAGTGCCATATATTTCCTATCACAATATACATGTGCATGCGGTATGTGTAGATTGTGCTTCATTCTTCAAAATTGTTATTGCATATATTACCTTTTCCTTCAGTTCCTTTTCTATAAAAACATTTACCATTGATATAAGCTTCAGAGCTCAAAATTATACAAATTTGTCATGCTCCAGCCTTCAGTATAACAAAATATACGAACCAACAAATTTAGAATTTCCTGTGTGCATTTATATTTCACCAACCAAAATTAAAGGCTGAGGTAAAATGAGAAGAGACATTCCAAATTTTGAGGATGATATATATACGCTCAAATAAGATGAATTTAGGGTACCAGTATTTACCTCTGCATGTCATTCTTCCGCTCAACTACTTCATGGATAAAACAGCGTTCAACAATAGGTATAGAGTATACTCTTTTTTTTTTAATTGGTGCTGTTATTCAAGGAACATTGCATGTCAGTGCAATATAACATAATAAGTTAATGTCATGCAACTACAGTACATAGATACTCACTTATGAGTACCCGGTATCATATGTATTTAGTCACTCATAATGTCATTTGATGATAAAGTGGTCAATAGTGGACAATTAGGAAGTGCCTATCACTCTACATACCATGTTGACAATTATCACAGCGATAAATAAAAGAAATTTATCAGAAGATGACAACAAAAATATTTTGAAAGACATGCAAAAGGAAGCACAATTTTTTTTTCTTCCAAAAATTGTGAAACTTGACTGAAATAGAAATAAAGAAATTGATATTACATTCACCAAAATGAACAGAACTTTTTTGGTGATTCATTTTGAAATGCCAGTGTATCTAATTCTCTAATTACTACTTTAATTTTATGTTTAGTTACTGTCATTGATTACAACCAAGTCAGTAGCGAGAATGACATCTCAAAGCTCTTTGTATTCAGTTGAAAATGCTCTATATGAATTGAGATTCTTTATTATTAATTCCCCTTATTGCTTAGTAGACAATGCATGAGTTAAGCGTACGTTTATTCTTTATTTTTGTTGATATCTATTATATAGAATTTACTGAAATATTTATACAAATGTATTGAAATAGACAACATGCAAATTCATTCCATTTAATTTATACCTATTAAAAATTTGATTTCAAAGTGTTCTCAATTCCAGAGTGACAGCTGCATGTAATTATTTTGTGTGACGTCATCTAATACCAACATGTATCTAATCAAGCTATTTTGATCTTCCTAGCTTCCATGGTATTAGCTGCCTGTGCTATGTAACTGTATAAACCATGAAAATATTGATATGGGTATTTCCACTTCAAACCAGTGTGCATTGTGTCCAGTATGTGTTCTTAACTGATGTGCTCCAAGCCTAGGCTTCAAGCATTATTTTTCCAATAAGCAGCTATCATGAAGTCTTAAATTTGTTTTTGTTTCATTATTTTCAGTGTGCAGTAGTTTTGAGTTGATATTTTATATAGAAATTTTGATAATGAATTTCTCTGTTATCGTTCATTTTATTGATACTTTTGACATACTTTGGTATTAGTAGTTACTTTTCATTTGTATTATATGCTTACAGTGATTATTCCTTTTATATTTCAATTCTCATTAATCTGAGTTGATTAAGTTAGAATATTTTAAGTGACCCTTGTTTTGATAAGTGTAAAAAGCTATCATTTCAATATATTATTGAATGATCTATTATGTATATATCATATTGAATTATGAAGACAATCTGAAACCTTTTCTGCTGAAATTCTATATTTGTTTCATTCCGTGTTATGTAATGCTGGAGAGACTTGGTTAGTCATTCAATTCTTCAGGTGTAATTTTAAGTTAATTATATTTTTTATACCCATATCCTTAAGCAGAATTCCATACTTAGCCTCTTCTTGTGAAAACAATGTATAGAGTTAGGCTGATATAACCTTACTGCACAATTCTTCAAATTATTATTTGAAGAGGACCTCACTTTTTGTACCATATATAAAGCTTGCAACTTCAACTGGAAACAATGTATGGAAGTATTTGTTGATGTGACATTGAGGTTTTGTTGTTAAGTATGCATACAACTAGATTTTGTTTATGTACCTGTACATCCCATCTGCAGTTTGTTCTACATCATTTTCAACTTAACTGTATAGAGGTGTGGTGGCTCAGTGGTATAGCTAGAGCAGTGGTCTTTTGGCCAAAGGGTCCTGGGTTCAAACCAAGTCGTTGAGCGAGAGGCCTCTGTAAAGGCATATAATCCTCCATTTATACCAAGTCCCTTGGATAGGAAGTAATACTGTAGTTCCACTGGTTGTTTATATACATCTTATCAGCATATATTTGCTTTCTCAGTATTCAGGTAAAAAAAATAGATTATAGATTATAATCATTATAATCTTCCTTCTTTCTCAGGTTATTAGATGTCACTCTGTCTCTTCTGTTATAGATTTGTATTCCCAATCAGTTTTTATTATACATAGTGTCTTGATTTATTGGCGGTAGGGGAGGGAAAAAAAGTATAAACTATTTAAATTTTAGTTATCGTATTCAGACATTGATCTGCAACTTCCATTCGTTTCAGGAAGTTTTAATTTGAGAGAGCACTGTAGCATGTTATTTTGACATTCCTGAGTTTGTAACTGATTCAGTCATTCTTGCATTGCTTGTCTCAAATCTACCATATTTACTCCTAGATATAAACGTTTGCTGTAACATATTTATTTTGTGACGTATTGTACCTTTGAATTAGTATATTTATACACATAATCATGGAGTGCCAATGCTGTTTTAATCTCTGAGTTTAAGAAGTTATAATATTGAGATAAAGAGATGTTATTGCTAACATGATGGTAAAATAAAGTGTTTTATGCTTTTTGTTTGAGAATATCCCATTAAAACCCTAAGCTTGATGCTATGATTTCATTTTTTCAATAAAGCATATTTATTTCGTTTGAAAAAGGGATTGTAAGAATAGTGCATATAACATGTAGCGTTCCGTGACTGTTCATTGAAGTAATCATCAGGGTTTCGTTTTATAAACATATGCCATAACAGTAAGTATCATAACTATGACATCATTATGTAGTTACAACTCGTGACACTAAAAGTGGCTGTTGCTGTGTATTTAAAAGTTGTGCAAAACACGCCGCTCCATGCCGTAGTATTGTGTTTCAAAATCAACAAGTAAATGGTTAGAGCATTCTCGCCTCGTTATCTCTCATTTGTATTCAACTCACCCTTTCATATTTCACTTTTGTTTAACTCACTCTTTAATCGCTAACGTCGTGTTTCTTCTTATCAAACGTGTCTATCATATCTCAAGTGTATCTCAATCTATTTATCATGTGATACTTTTCATCCATCATCTCCGTTTCTCTCTTATTTTCATCTCAGTACTTCAAATATTCTCTTTTCGTACCTCTCTTCTTTGAATACATCTCACTTTATCTTGCTCCTTTTACATTTACTTCCCAAAAACCTCTGTATTTCTCTGATTCAATGTACACATAATATACATATCTATATACATATATATTTATTTAGTTATGTATATACATGTATATATATTTAAAATGTCTTTGTATTTTTCTCTTTCATTTTTGTTTCTCCTTTTTATGTTCTCACCCATTTCTATTTTATTTTGTGTATTCTCACTTGTTACATAATTATCATCTATTTATCTTATCCCATACAATTCCCACCAATCTATATCCTTTTTGACACTTATTTATACTCCCTATGAATTAATTTTGACATAAATAGCACACACTGGTAACTCTCAACCATTAATTTCTTGACCATACATAGTATACAAATATACACTGCCTTGAGAGGTTCTGGTTAAAACTATGCGCAAGAGGTGACTCCAATAGTACTATTTGCTGAGGGGCGCAGCCCCGAAGCAAATGGTACTTTTGGAGTCACCGAGGCCCATAGTTTAACCAGTACCTCGAATAGAAGGCATGGTATATTTGTTTTATATCCTGCATCAAAAATTAATTTAAAAAAAAAAAAAAAAAAAAAAAAAAAACATTTTTGGGAAGAAAAAAATTTAGAACAAAAAAAATGTCAATTTTTATCTAAAAAGATTTAAAATATTTTGTTTTCATTAAATCAAGATTTGAAGAAAAAAAATTGATTTAATTTAAAAAATTTTTTTTTTTTTTTTTTTTTTCCAACTCCCAAATAGTAAACCAAAATAGTACTCTCATATAGTACTTTCTAAAAATAGCTCAAATATTTATGGTCATGTGACGAGCTCTCAACCAATCAGAAGCCGACAAATTTTTGATGCAGAATATAATATAATTTATTACACTCTTTATAATTACTGTGATCAGCATGTACTCTCCGACACCGCAGTTTTATGTTTATATTGCTATAACTTTATTTGTTATTTTATGAAACGATATACTTTTTACATAATGAATACATTGAACAGATTTAACCAAGAAAATATATTATTATTATTACAAGTAACATTTAAATATTTATTTACTTATTCACAATTCATTAAGTGAAAGAAATAAAAGCAAAGCGACATGAAATTGCCTGACATTATACATCCTCATAAAGACTCAAAGAATTAAAGAATTAATAAAAGACAATATAACTCTGAAACAGTTTCCTTCAAACCGTTTGTTCTATCATCACAATACATAATAAAGTACTTGAAAGTTGTATACTAATACTATCTCGATATGTCAATGGACCTGCCATTCGTTAGTTACACCAAGTTTACCAAATATATTTACTTTTTAATTCGCCCTCTTTTACACAAGTCGAAAATAAAAAATAAAAAATAAAAAAATAAAACCAAAATAAAAAAGTAAAGTATGAAATTCCTCCAGGACTATAGTAAATATATCATTGTGATATAACAGTAATATTTACTCAATCATGAATATAGTCAAGGGCTTGTTTTCACAGACGTGAAAAGGATATATGTTTTTTTATAGTGACCTGTCATACACTGAAACGCCATATTGTTCTACGTAGAGAATATATACCTTAGTTCATTAGTAATGTACTCTTAATATCCATATCGATATTGTGAATAGGTAGGCAAGATAAAGCTTAATAGTCTTAGAATAAACCTTTGGAATCGTAGCATTAAAAATCTAATCTCCAAAAGAGACCTTGATATGTCTTAATATGCGACGTCCCATATCTATCAAACGAGAAACAAGACGTAATAGCATTAGTTTCTTATTGAAGACCATCTCACAGACCATTCATTTCAAATAATATAATGTACTTTATACAACACCTACGTGGATCCTTGTCATTTGATTGGACGATTGTTGGTCACATGATATTCAATAGATGGTATATTGCACGGTCGTGCATTTTTGGTTATATGCGCCGTGCATTTTTGGTTATATGCAGACTGCGTACCTCTCTGCTGCATGTGCGCGTATCCCTGCGTGTATCTGACGCGAAGGCAATCTGCATGTAATCGAGAAGGCTTGACTCGAACTTTAATTTATCTTTATAAGGAGTAAAGCATAATTTGCTGATTAACGTTCTATTAGGTCTTCTTCGATGTTGTATAAAACAAATAATGAATGTTTTTCATTCGTTTAATAGTGCAAATATTTTCATTCGTTGAAAGATTAACGTTAATTCTATTCAACTCGGCTGACGCCTCGTTGAATAGAATGTTAATCTTTCAACTCATGAACATATTCGCACTATTGAACTCATAACCATTCATTATTTGTATATTATTTTACATATGACACGAACAAAACGTCTGGTAGGCCATATCAACCCGGTTACCTGTCTGCCAACATACCATTTACATTATATATTTTCAACTTGATGTTTAAAGGTATCTATACCATTTCCATGTTTTCAAAAGAAATTGAAATATTTTTTATTAAAGGTAATACAAAGTTTTGGTATAGGGTCATGAATTTGGTTCAATTGAACATATTTGAAGCATATGCGATCCTACAATATTCAGTGATCGTTGTCGTGGTTGAAATCGAGTCTAAACTTTATGTTGTATAGCTCCCTCTCAAGGTCAAGATATTTATCAAGCTATAAAACAATGTTTCTTGACTAAAATCGACCGATTAGCTATTCCCGTTTGGAAATTATATACCACAACTACATATTTTGAGATTTTCAGGGTCGCAGCTACCATTGTATGGACGTAGGCGCTATTTGAAATTCATAAAAATTTACCGGGAGCACCGGTAAATTTTTATATTCAATTTTTCTCGAAAGCAGAAGTTTCTTAGGGGCTAAATTTACTAGTACTTATAATACATTCACAGGGGCATCTAAATATATCAAACTTGTAAAGGATGGCTATCCACCGAATTTTTAAAATTTCCCAAAACTTTGTATTACCTTTAAGTTGAACAAACTAGATGGTTTATTTTATTTGTTGATATATGGAGGCACGTCCAACTTAGATATTAGAATCTTGTTTTCATTGTACATATCTTTGTCGAATGTATGTATTCATCGGTTTGTACATTTGCTTAAATATACTGTTTTATGCTTTGAGAACAAAGGAATAAAGACTTTATTTGAACAAAAAAAACATACCACTTGAGGAATGTCAAGTAAATAAAAGCACAGTTCACAAGCATTTCGTACATGAAAGCTAAATGATAATCGTTATGAACAATACATACTTCCAATGAACAATATGCACTATATTTTTCTCTATCGGTACTGATACTGTGATCACACTTCCTAAGTGGTACAATTCGCCTTTCTCCATCTATTTATTAACTTTTGTTAACAGAACAAACGGAGACCTTTCTGAATTATGATAGAGAAATAAAGAGGCATAATAATTATTGTTCCATAAACATTGTCATTATGTAACCTGTATAACTTAATTTTTATGAGACATTTTCGCCTAATGATATCACTGTTATACTGATAAAATATGTCCGTTTTAAATGACTAGTTCCATTAAAACAAGAAAAACAAATGGCAGAAATAAACTCAAAATTAATTTGACTATAATAGGCGCAATTACACGTGCAGCTAAATATGCGACTCAAACGTAGGAAGAAAATAGAGAAGAGAGTTCCAAAGTTCAAATCCTTATTGTCTACATGAATTTCTCACTATTCCTATCATGAGCTAACAATTAAAAATGAAATATTAATTAAAAATGAAATATTGTATTTATGATAACCGATTTTTGTTTGTCTGAGGTGTGTAATTTGAAAGTTGAGAAAGATGACAAAGATTAGATTTGCATCAACATGTAATCAGTTTTGTGTCAAAATGAAGCTTAACGTATACAATTTCATATAGCCTCAAAGGTGGTACATGTATTTTGTGCTGAAACTAAAGAAAGAATCGAACAAGAGAACCCTATGCGTGTAATGCTAATAAAGCAAATATAATAAAAGAATTAAGGAACGAACACATTGCTATCAAGACGAGCTCATTTTCAATATTTCTCCTCAAGTGTATTGACACTTGATGACGTACCGGTATCAAATAATTCAAAATAGATTTGTCAAAATAATACAAGTTTGTATGATATTTTTTCAAGGCCTTGTCTCTATGCTCTCTCGAATATTCTGTGCCAGAGAAGCCAAAGTATAGTAACAAACGTTGATCTTTTCCGTTCATGATAATAATAAGGCCACTATAAAGAATATTTTGTTTCAAATCGCGAATGTGTACTTATCTTAGATTCATCAGTCCCACATGAAATATAAAACCCGGTATACAGAACAGGTGAGAAACTATCTCGTCCACTTTCTGACCTATATTAATAACAACGACGTGGTGACGCTGTCTGACGTCGGGCTAGAATGTCGTCGTCGTCATCGTCGTCATAATCGTCTCTAGAGGGTCTTCTTTCTATCTTTGTCTTCCTTGCTCTTTGAATCAGCTCGGATTGCTTGAATCCATTTCGTTCTTGAATCTCGTAATTGTCCCAGCCATGTTTGCTGAAAGGTATAATACAGATAATCGAAATTAGAATGAAGGTTTTAGGATGCACATAGCTGACTTACGATGAAATTAAAAGATCAGCGTTCAACTTGTCATAATATATCCAGAGCACCAAAACGAGAAACATAAACATTTGAAACTTTGCAAGATCCTGAACAAGTTATTGGTGGTATGTTCATGGACATGGTGGTCAGTGAATATGAATTTATCTACAAATTTAGAAGCACTTTGATATTCTTGTAAAATTCATAATGAGAAGGTTGTGGTACTATAGAAAAAATATACTCCTCGTGTGGGTGTTTGTATGTATGTGCGTCTGTGAGCGTGTATGTGCGTGAGTTTCTATCTTAGATTCACATACATAGCGCCTGCATACATTTTCTTCTTTTCCTCTTTTTTCAAACACTGAATTATCACCTAGTATTTTGACGTGTGATGTGTTTCCATAATACACAGCGACAGAAAATAACTAACAAATCTATCTAACTTCTGTCAGTTTTAAAATAGATAATTTTAATATAAATCGGCCTACCTGATGTGTCTCCGATGAGCTTGAGAATGCATAGAGAGTATGAACTTGTCCGTATCTATTCAGCTGTACCAGTACAAAGCAATGCTTGATTCCGTTTGCTGTAAAAATGAATCGAGTCACAATGAAATTAACATTCAACAATTATCATTTTAAAGGAATAATGTTCACATCAAAAAAGAGATTTTAACTGTTTCTGTGCAGTTATCAACTCATTGTTTATTAAAGCTTCATAGCTACCTAAAATTTTGTGCAGCACTTCCCCCATTTAGTCGTATTAATAGATCGTGAATCAATAAGACTTTTGATATGAGATGGTCTGGGTGGTGGCACATCTTAATGATAACGATAATAAAGTGGTGGTGGTAATGATGATGATAACAATTATTGTAATGATAATTGATGTTACAGACGACGTCAATAATGGTGATGATGGTTATAGTTATGCCTAGGGCAGCGATATGGGGAACGGGTGGAAACGTTTGCTAGTGCTCTAAAATACAGAGTTTCAAGATTCGCTAATGTTCTCACTTTGTCGCAACGCTTCCTCACATATTAATAGAAGCATTATTTTTTGCCTCCCGTAATGCCTGCCTGGTGTAAATTAAAAATAATAATAAACCGCTTTGGCCAGTACTAAAAGAATCTCTGACATTTTAGTCGCGCTGCCCCCCACCCCCATTCCACCACTGCAATTTCGCTTCACCATTATGTTACGCGTGTTTTGCGCAAATACAATGTAACAATAAAGCCATGCGTAGACAGGGTATACGCGAAGGCATTGTTTCGTCATGGTCATGTGATCGAATGCCTCGTTGCTGATTGGTTGAAAGTTCAGCCGCGTCACGTCTTTTCCCCTTGGATACCACGCTCATGCCAAGATCATAACCACAACAAACCGTTCACTTTCTGATTTATCGTACAGTGGAGAACACGTAGTATATCTTCCTCCGAGTTTCCGAAAGCGAATTTGAAGCAATCATTGCTAAAAATTCTGTACTCTCTTGAACTTTACCAACTACACTCCGCTTAATAGATCTTTAAGGTGAGTTTAAGAATAAGATATTTAAAAATAACAAGAAACATCAAATGTAAAATCATTAACCCAGACCCAGTATAGTGTATACACTCACACGCATTAACATTATAGTAATACTACATTGACTCCCGAAATAAAAGAAAAATGAATAAGAGGTTGGTTGGATGTATTAGGTGAAGGCCCAGATGGACATGGAACTTTTCTTGTAGGCCTATTTGGAAAAATAATATGTTTCTGCCACATAACCTAAAATATGTTTTATAGCTTAAGCTTGAATAATTATGAAAGAGGTAATAACACCATTGCCAGATATTTTTTTTTGTTATATTACACTATTTGATTCATATTGTTTTCTCATCGTGGTCTTCAGAGATGCAGACGTAGATATATAAATATAATGATTCAGATTTAAAGTATAACTTGATTATGCGAGGTATGGTATTTAGAAAATTCATTAGATTTTTATTCAAAATCTTCAACAACAGCATGATGATTATCACGACTCCAAAAGACATTGAAATGTCAGGTCAGAGACACCGCCGAGCAAGACGTATGAACGGTCGCCGTCAACGACTTGCACTCGGATCGGTAGTCAACCACGGAGCTGAAATCAACGTGGCTCTCGACATGGCCCAACCTTTTCCGTCCAGCAGTACTCCTCTTCAAGCTGATCAAAGCTTGGACATGTCAGCTCAGAGGGAGAGACGGGCACAGCGAATGTCCACAAGACGTCAGCGTCTTAACCTGGGACCAGCGTCTGATCACGCGGTAGAAATTGCACAAGTTATTCATGACTTTTCTACCGCGTGTTCAACAGACGAAGCAGCCCTCGAAGTGGGCAGCGATAAAGTTGTCAAAGACAACAAGGCTAACTCTCTTGCCTACCTCAAAGCGCGTTTCGGACTCATGCCACACAAACTGGCAACGAAAATGAGGAAGTGGTTCGCCAGACGAACCTAATTGTATTAAATAAACTTATTTGTACATAATATCTTTATTACAAAATACCAACCAGAAACCAAATACGGAAGAAATAATGGGAATCAGGAGCCTCGCTGATAAATCATGAATACGATTTTTTTTGGAGGGGGGGGGGGGTGTGGATTTGGGCCAAATTCACCTACAACTTAGCCAACTTTATTCACCATGCAATTTTTTTCCTTTCTTTTTTTCAGGCAGGCTTGGACGAGCATCTTCTGATCACGCAGAAGAATTTCATCCATGTCTTTTTGCAAGGTTCAGCCCTCGAGATATCCGTCCGGGAGGGGGGGGGGGGGGCTGGCGATAGACTTGAATTTGCTAATATCGAGGCAATGTTCACCCCCTGTTCACCAAAGACAACAAAGCTACTCCTCTTGCAATAATTATAACGAAACCTAGTTTTAGACTCGTGCCGTATAAATATTGAATATTGAAAAAGGGAATATTTCGACAGAAAACGAAACAACATTTTTACATGAACAAACAATTTCCTTCTACATATCTCATTTATATTCTATGAAACAAACAAAACTAAAATGTAAATAAAACCAAACCTTCTTACTTTTGTATAAAATAACGATGGATTTGGAGGCTTTTCTTTTTGTTTGTCGTTTACGAGATTATGCAAGTTAAATTTTGATGACGCCAATGGTGATTGTTTTGTTTAAATCATGTTATGATTATGATAATAATGACAGAAGGTGGTGATGATGATGATGATGATGATGGTGATGATGATGACGATGATGATGATGATGGTTATGTTGACGATAATGATTTGTCTTTTGAATTTGGATTTTTTTTATTTTTTTTTATCTTGCATTTATATCGTTTTATTGTCTTATAAACAAATTTACGTGCACCAAAACACTTCCCCAAAACGTAACATCTAGAAGAATTATTTACCCAAGGCCTGCTTGGCATCGATGTCCATAAGTTCCAGGCGATCTAGAGGAAGGGGTGCTTTACATACAACAAAACTATATCCATCCTTGTGTTTGGGAACATAGCTCTGAGTCTGTCCATAGGGCAAAGAGTTGTCTGTAACGGATTTCTTCTTGTTACCTGAAGTACGACGCATTCGTGTTATCAGCATCATGTCATCGAATAAAAAGACATACACTTCTTGTAGTCTCCCGTTCTCTGTCAGACAAAGAAAAGAAAAGAAATTCTTAGCTGGATGCCATTCTTATAAAAACTGTTTAACTTTTAGACTTAGTGGTCCCCTCCCCCTCCCCCCTCCAGAATGTTCACTGCGACTGTGTTTTTTAATCACAAATTTACATGACCTCGTCATAGTTTTAGCCAGCAGTCTTACATATCAATCTAAAAGAATAAGAAACGTATACAAACAACTGTACTTATTTGCTTGGAATAAGCATGATTGTCAGAAGCATTTAATGAACTCACCGAAGATTTGAAGATGTCCTTCATATGTCAATGATCGTTTGGAACTAAACAAGACGTGTTCTCTTGATTTCTTGGCGATGGTGGATTTCAAGAACTAAGGATAAGGCAAAGATACAATCATACAAACTCGTTAAAACAAACATGCAAACTAAAAAAGTATGAGTATCTGGGGAGGCATGATGGTTCAGGAATATGACAGTCACGTTAATCTCATACCCGGAAAATCCCAGATTAAAAGACGATTCGCTTTTTCTAATTTTCTAAGTAATTAATCCTCATAAGCAAGTCTATCGGATATGACTTAAAACTAAACGTCCCCTGGTTACTAACCTAAAAGCATATTACTTGCTTGCTTATAAGTCAGACAGAATAAGTCATATATTATACAATTCAATCAATCAATCAATCAATCCATCAGTTAAATTAAAAAAAAAAACTTTTTTTCTTATATACTTATTTACACATGCCTGGCAGCCTGGGTATATAAAAACATATTCTTGGCATCTTTTAAGACAGTTTGACATTGAATCCAGTAACAACTTTGTGGAGAAATACATTTTTGAAGGGATTGAATTTTAATATCCGGAAGGCGTGTAAAAAAAAGCGCTTCATAATACTTTAGCCCATGATAATAACGAGCTGAATACGCCTATAATACTTACGTAGAAATACGATTATTATGTTGCAAAAATACAGCCGAAAGTTTGCTTACCTCAGGAACGAGACCAGATAATTTGGAGTCGAGTTCTTCCATTGGAGGCCAGCTGATCATCTGCTGTAGTTCTCTCATTCGTTCAAAGTTTGCCAACCATTCTACCTTGCCTTCAAGATCAACTGATGGGGAAAATAGAAGTTGTAGAAAGGAATAATTCAGAAGAGTTTTTGTTTTTACAAGTACTATGAAGACATATATTTTTAATATAACTTGGTCATTGATTCCTTTTCATTGCACAGAACCTTGCAGTGACCTTAATTAATGTTAAACGTTTGCATGATAATATTTACACCCTTCTTTTGGCGTGATTGACGAATATTAAATGTATAAAATGCTTTGAAAATTTTTGGGTTTTGTTTTTGAAACATTCTTCACTATCAAATAAAGCTCAGGATTTTCACTCGACCAAGACCAGGACTCACTCCATTTATTAAACACTTGCTTTAATTCATTCACTTCTTATCTCAAAATTCATTAAACAAATCAATATTTCCACCAATCTAGACTAGTTCTAGCTGTGAAAGAACTTGTAATTCACAAGCTATTTTTCCTTGCATATAATCTCCAATATACAAGCTAAATTAAAACACACTTCTCTTGATTAAAAACTTACCTTTTATTGCACTCTCGACAGAAATCAGTGTAGAATTCAGTAATTCTTTCTCGCTGGTTTGTGAGGTACAGTTTCTGATGTCTCTTAGAAGTAGGGTATACTTGGTAATTCGCTGGATTGGAGTGATCAGAAGATCCGTGAGTTGAAGTCTTTTACATCGGCTGTCCTGCTCACATATCTAATGGTTGAAGTACCCAGAGATAAAACAAAATAAATTGATATGGACTTGGATACTGAATAGTGGAATTGTACAGGAAAATATCTCAACATCTTTTCTAAGTAGATTCCTTCGAGCAAGATTGTACTTTTTTACGTATTATCTGAATATCATTGGATCTATACTTCTCTTACAACTAGACGACTCAAATAGTTGAAATACCCCTTAGAGTGGAGATGGTACATGCATAGGCCTACATCGTATGCTAAAACTATTGTTCCAGTAACTAGGGTACATTACTGAAAATCACCAAGATATATTATGTTAGTATGTTTTCTCACCTTGCAAAATTCAGCAAAGTCATCTTGCTTCTTGAGGGATTCAAGATATTGCAGGGCTCCTGAATAGTTCATGCAGTAGCTTGAAAATGCAGGACACACTTGCATCTCAAACTGAGGAAATAAATCAAGAAAAGTCGCAGTTACTTCATTGGTGGGGTTAGAATATCATGAAAGGTTCTCAATAATTATGAATGAGAACAATTTTTAAAAACCATTATTCTCAATTTAAAAAATCATGTTCTCAAATTGTTTTATTTACTAAGGAATTATTCTCAAATTGAAATTACACTAGACTCAATGTACATCGCCCATTATTGTTCCTCTTTTGTGCATCGATAATTTTATACACTCTGTTTAAATTTTGTTCGCAACAAATCTAGAATACCGTCTATATGTTCGTGCTGTAATATAAAATGAGAGTAGTGTAAGAACTTAGACTGTGTTCTATCATTGCGATGTATTCATCAACTAAATATAAATCATAAATTCATGATTCTATCCACTTACAGTTGCTAATGCAGCTACGATAGCATCAGCTTGTCCGAATTCTCCTTCTGAAAGTCGGCTTGAGAAGTTCTTGATTAGATCTCGACACAAATTCGCGCTGACCTTAACATATACGAATGATAAGTAAGAAAGAAAACGTGAATTATTCAAAGGAACACATTCAGGCGCACAATTGGAATATTGACATCAAAATTAAAAAGCATAAACTCGGGTATAAAGAATTTTGTAAGAATACGTAATAATTTGGGACCAACTTACCGTACATAGTTCATCAACATTAGCGAAGAGTTTGACAATCTCTATGTGCATGAGATGATCTTCACATTGGAGCCAACGGAGTCTTTCTTGAAAGATCTGGGGAAAAGAAATTCAGACATTTGTTTTGTTCTTGTCGTTGAGGGTATGTGTAGTATGAATACAAAGCTGGCATCGTGACAGCGATATTAGAAGAAAAGAGCGTATCCGGACACTACCCCCTGGACATCCACCCCCAGTCAACTACCCCCTAGGACAACTACCCCCTAGGGCAACCACCCTCTAGGACGACCTCCCCCAGGGACAACTACCCCAAGACAACTACCCCATAGGACAACTACCCCTGGGACAACTATCCCCCAGGCAACAACCCCCGGACAGCTACTTCCTGGACAACTAGCCCCTAGGACAACTACCCCCTAGGGCAACAATACTCTAGGACGATTACCCCCCCCGGGACAACTACCTCCAGACAACTACCCCATAGGACAACTACCCGTAGGGCAACTCCCCCCCCCCCAGACAATTACCCCCTATACGACAACCATCCTCTAGGACAATTCCCCTCGGACAACTATCCTAGGGGATAGTTATTCGGGGGTAGTTGTCCGGGGGTAGTTGTCCTAGGGGGTAGTTGTCCGGGATGCAGTTGTCCCGGGGGGTAATCTTCCTAGAGGGTGGTTGCCCTGGGGGAGGGGGGTAGTAGACTGTGGTGGTTATCTTGGGGTGCGTGTCCAGGGGGTAGGTGTCCTAGAACCGAAAAAAATAACCCCTATATATTATAATTTTTTAGAATATTATTGGCCTTATCAATGTTCTCTTCATTAAGTCATTTTAGGTGGTCTTTCTATAGGTGGATGAAATGTGATGTAACAAGCGGGGGAGGATTTTGGAGGAGGACGCGCTATATTATTCTTCTATACTTTTTTCTGTTTACATCTGTCCTTCTCTCTCTCTCTCTCTTTCATCCCTTTCTTTGTCCTTTGTGCCACATGGACACGCAACTACACCACTAATATATCATCCCAAAACAATTAAAACTAAAGTAAACTATCAATTTTTCAATTTTACCATAATCAGTAAAATACGAGGTCGCTGATATTGCTACTCACCTCTTTCAAGACTAGAATGTGATCAACCAGATATGCGCATTCGCTTCTGAACACTTCCCATACTTTCTCTCGTCTTTTATATTCCTCCGTGCTGATTGTAGATATATCGATGGGGCGACCAAGGACAGATTCTATAAAGTCCTTCCAGTGTTGATCCTGCAGTGGATGTATAAAATAATTCATTTTAACTATTGATTGTTTACAAATACCTTGAAATGAATTGACGAAATGGAAACATTAACGAAGACAAAAATATATGAGATTTGCAAGGCGCCGAATCCACTTGAAATCAAATCCCCAAGGGGCACTCATTAAGAAGAAAAAATCCTTAGAACTGCAAAAAGGAGCCCAAAACAATCATTTGTAATGCTTCCTCTAACTGAGAATACAACATACCTTCCTTCCTTTATTTAAAAAAAAAAGACTTCGGTCTTGACCATTTTGATCGGTTCTATGACTATGTACATTATCACATTGATTACAAGTTCCTTCTCGAATCTCGAATTGAATATAAAGAACATTTCCTTTTTTCTTTAAACATGACGTTAATTTCATGAATACTAAATATCATTCATAAATGACTATCCATGACCGAAATATAACACAACTGAATGGGAGATATAATGTACATTGCAACTTAAAATTAGCAATAACCTGATGTAATAGTCTAAACGTATGCACGTGAGCGTCACATTTCTATGTTAATTTTTTAAAACATACGGATCAATTAAAAAAAAATGTTATAGGACATTATTCGTGATATCTCTGTACAGAGTTTATGAGGTGAAGCAACGCGGATGTATAGCATGTTCCGATAGGCTGGGTGTGTGCTGAAAGCATACTTGAGATCCTCTTTCAAGGAATATAAAAAAATCATCAGATATGAGTATCTAAGACTGCAGTAAGAATCTATCCCAATAACCGCAAGAAATGTAATACCTTTCACAACGGATGCTATAGAGATATTGATCTTGGTGTTATTCTGTGAAGAATATCATATCAGGAAATAGAAGCTTACGGTGCATTTCGCAATCCTTATGTTTTTCTACCACATTACCTTTCACAAAAGTACACTTAATATCTATTCGAAATAAGATGAATAATAATGAAGGATCGAGGTCTTCGTCCTAACAGATCCAGAAATCGACAAACGCTCGTTAGTGGTTGCGGTGGTGGTGGTGGGGGAGGGGGTATGGGTGCGCGAATTTCTACCCTCGGAGTGCATAGGTATTATTTTACCTATAATTTAAAGTTTTACTAATGAAGCTATTTCCCAAAATCTGAGACACCCATCATTACTCAACCATTTTTATACATTTTCAGTGCAATTTCATATTGAAATAGACTGAAATATGGTCAATAATAGAATTTAACAAAATGGCGCCTTAATGACGTCACGCATCGGTAATCGACACAATCTCTTCGTTTGGATCAATAATCATATTGTTTGTGACAAAATGTAATGAAAGTTTGATTGCCATTAACCATGCCATTCATGTAGAGGTGTCGTGGTCACCGGCCTGTGGATCAAAAGGTCCGCGGTCCGAGTCCCGCCGCGGCACTAATATCCTTTGGCAAGACATTAATCTACTTTTACCACACTCGACCCAGGTGTGTTAAATGGGTACCTGGTAGGAGTATGCCTGATGCCGGAGATAAAGCTAGGGTAATATTTTCCAAAGCTCTTTGGGAGCGCATATTATTATTATATGAAGAGAACAAAATCCATACATAAAGAAAGGGAAAAGAAGATAGATTCTTACGAAATCAAAAGCTACTCTGCCATGCTACGAGGCAGATGACCAAATAATAATAATGAATTACATAAACTGAAACACTTCCGAAGAAAGATCGAAATTGACAAACCTTGAAGACAGCATATTCTAGTTCGTCCTGGTCGTGCCGTTTGAAGTTTGAAATGATAGCTCCCATTCCGCTCTTCTCTTGCTTTCCCTATCAAGGTAATGGTAAAAATAGATATTTTATGATATATTAGAGAAGGGAGAGAACATTGATAGCTTATATCAGGGCCCCGTTACATAAAACCTAGCATTGATGGTAACTTTGCCATCAATCGCAACTACCATGGTAACAGGGCTCAACATCCAATCGAACTCAAGGTTTTTGTGGTAGTTACCATTGATGGCGAAGTTACCATCGATGGTAAGTTTTGTGCAACAGGTCCCAGATGTTATTTTCTATTATCGGAGATAGAAATGTATCTGAATTTGAACAAGACGTTATACTATACTTACAAACTTTTTCCTGAGCATGGCAGCTATTCTCTTCTTGCTGTCTGTTGGTGAAGAGGAAAATTAAACAGAATTATTTTAACGTGTGGCTCGTTGAAATACTGATTAAAAAGCGCAATGATAATAATACATAATACTTCTACAGTGCACAACATTTCCTAATGAAGCAGATAAATGAAATGATAGAAACGTATAGGCCTACCTTGTACTTCTTCGCTGGCAACGTGGTTATCTAAACCTTGTACACTTGATTCAATGAAACCTAGACGTGAGAAAGACAAAAAGCATAATAAGGATAGACATTATTTTAATCATTCGTATTTATGTAATTATGACCTAATCCACTCGAGTTCATCATTCCCAATTTACACAATTTTTTACAATATCCAAGTAAAGAAATATTTACTAAAATTATCATTATTATAATTATCACACCCAGTGAGCATCCGTTTTAGCCCCCATTAACAAAAACAATCTTTGCTGGGAGGGGAACTTTCACCTTCTTTTAGAAAAATTGGAAATATCTTTCAAACACACAAAATACGGAATTTGGACAATATATCAAAGCTGCTAAGCTGACAAACTATAATGCTAACATGATGAGACCCCAAAAATAAACGAGAACCTAAGAAATATCTTCTTAAGATATCCATATTAATATATTTTTCTTCGAAAATAATGTAGGAATACCTTTCGTCAAATTATTTGCAATGAATATGATCGTCAACACATGTGACCACATATTTGAATAAATACATAATACTTTTACAGCACCAATAATAGTTAAAAAACGAACTTACCCTGGACATGTCTAGCTGCAACAGCTGAAATGAAATGGGATAGCAGAAATATGATTTATTTTTCTGTAAAGCTTTATAATTTTGTGCCATTTCACGTTTGAAATTCATTATTGTTGCTGATTTTGATTGATTATCTAGCATACAGTCCTCAGGCAAGCTCAAAATAATCGTTTGTTCCCTTTCACTCTCCCTATCCAACATCTCTCTCTCTCCCACTCCCGAATCCATTCCTTCCCCACTAAACTCTCTCTTCCACTCCTTCCCCACTCTCTCTTCCACTCCTTCCCCACTCCCTCTTCCACTCCTTCCCCCACTCCCTCCCCCACTCCCTCTCCCATTCCTTCCCCCACTCCACCTCCCACTCCCTCCCCACTACATTTCTCACATTCCCTCCCTCTCTCCCAACCACCTTTCCCTCTCCCTCTCCATCATTCCACTCCCTCCTTTTGCCTTTGCCCGGATAATTGCAAACTGCCGAAACAGATTTGAGGCAAGCACAGATCAATACAAGCCATTATCATTGTTGCAAATCAGTGAAGAACACATGAATAATCGGAATCAGTTGGATACCATTACATGGACCTTGTGCTCAATGCTAACCTACAATGGATCTAATTTCTCCAGCATTTTTCAATCAAAATTTAAATGCCAATCAGAATGGCGACTTCATCGTAAGGTGTTAAGCCCTTTCCGCCAATACAATCAGTATACACTTTACGTGACGGTGCCGAGGTCATAACAACATTTTACTTGCCTGATGTTTAGCTTCTTTACTCAAAAGATTATTAACCAACACTTCAAAGACATTTGCGCATTGACATCATTGAAGAATAAGAACAATAATTACGTCACTGGTTGATTATTTTGGAAGGGGCACAACCGGCACATACCCTTTCCGTGAAGCCCAGTTAGCATACCTTAAGTACACAACTCCAATAATGTGCCCCTTTTCCAAATTCTCATCCAAAAAGCACCTCGAAATCTATCTGGGGAGAGGGCTAGTCTTAACATTTTCGGAATCGTGCCCACCCCCTTTTTTATTGTTAAAATCATTGATCAGCCTGTAACTTACATTGTAAAGTGAAACTGGCTTCACTCATGATACTGGCCCGATGTTCATCGGATTGTTTCCGAGATGCTGTGGGTAGGAGAGAGTCCATCTGAGGTGTTGATAAACCCGGGATGGAGGTGTTTCGTGCAGGTTGCGGCGGTGAATCAGGCTTGCAACTGCAAGGGGGACAATTAAATGATGTTGAATTGTATATCTTGTCAGAATTATTATTCCATTTGAATAGAAAAGGAAAGTGTTTATATGTACACTGGAAATTTCGAAACGCGAACTAAAATATATAGTTGCTTATTAATTTGCTGTAATGGCATCTCGAGAATTGTTAATGGAAAAGGGTCGGCCTGAATACGTATATACAAGTTCAGTCAGTCTAAAAGGAATAATTTTGAAGAAAGAACAATACATTATTAAATTCATCTGCAACCAAAAATGTCAATTTCAATTTCAATTTACTTCATCTGGAATTCAAATACTTAATAAATAACAGTCCACAAGAGAATAACACTGCAACGTAATAATCATTCAGATATCAATGTTAAAAATTCCCTCGTCTCTGTCAAGAAATTAAATATTGTTCAAAGTATAAAAACGACTCCGTATATTCTTCACGATATATACATTTTTAAACATTTCACGCTTACTTGTTCGACTCTTGTTCTTCAGATCCCATTTCTTGAACAGCTGGTGCTACCTGTGTTATTACAGCATCCCTCCTCCGTCTCATGTGGTACCTCGGCGGAGGGGTATTCTCTTCGTCTTCTCCTTGGTCCTGGGGTTCAACCTATACACATTTAAGATAAAATTCATCAATCTGAGTTGCAACATAATTATTTGAAAATTATATTTGTTAAATATTTATTTCTTTTTGAGTTTTGATATACGAAGTAAAAGCTGATATTGTCATAAACAAGCGCCATAATTGTTGAGAATTAAGAGAGATTTGCCTAATATTTGTTAACACAGTACTATTGAATATCACACATGTTAAAAATGTCCCTTAATAACTGTTTATCGCACAATAATATCATAATAGTAGCACACTCCTCTATTCGAAAAGTAAAAGATACAAAACGAATGAATATAACTGTTTGCGGATGAATAAGTTTGGTTTGTTCAACTATGGTAAATGAATAACTTACACTAGCAAAACCAACGGATTACTTTACAAAATTACATACATCATCGAATTATGAAAGAAATCAATAAAACCATACGCGAGACATACCTTTCGATGTTTGGGGTATGAAGATTTAACATTTTGGGACAATTCAGGCGATGGAATCCGGAGTGAACTTCCGCTACTCGTTACAGACCCAGACGAATCTTGATATAGAAGACAAACAAAAATGAGACTAGTATTTTATTATGATGCCTCTTTTCAATCTCATCATTAATAAGTTGCATGATGATAACAACTATCACATCGTATAATCAGGGGCATTATCAAAATGGGCTAACATATTCTTTCGCTATCTTTGGCTGTTTCAAAAGTCAAGTTTGTATACTGAAGATAAAGCTTTTGCGTCGACGAATTATATCTTATGGCTAGTCAGGTTAAGAAGCTAATTTAATTTAGGACAAATTTGAAAAGATTTCTAAAAGATTATCTAGGTTTAACGTTACAAATTATTGCCATTATAATGCTTAAAATAAGATTCTTGCTCTGACAAACTTAGATAAATATCCAACACATTGCGCCATCGCCTATACAGGATAGCTCCATGGACTAGACTGCAGACCTGGCATTGGGATGAATAAATGGTGGCTTGAAAAAAATAATTTCCTTTCCATATAGCGTCTAATTTCCCCCCTTTGAATTCTATTTTTGTTCACGATTACAAAGTGTGGGTAAGGTACTCAAATATTTGAGACACTCACAATTTACTGCCTTCATTCATGTTAGTATGGGATCAAATTCATGTGAAATTAAAGTTGAACTATATGTTTTGTACACCATTTAGAGTTTCAGAAACACAATGTTTTGAGTAGGCTACCATCTTTGGAGTTATTTCAAAACGACAGTTCTTAAAAAAACATGCATACTGACTGAAGATGTCATATGACCAGTCTAAATATCAAAAGTTGTATAGTTTTATGTTTTTCCCCATTATCTCAGCTATTTTCATTTTGTAATGTCTCCCTGGCCATGTCTCCTTCTTTTACCCCATAACAGAATACTGTCGAGCTAAACAAAAATATTTTCGCGCCCACTTCATTCCTCCCCCGCTATTTCCAATTATCATATAAAATTGGCAACACTAGCTATGATCTAATCTGACCCTTCCTACTTGTGAACTGTCCGTGTAATCGGTCAGAAGTCCGCTGGACAACCCTTGAATAATTTTACATTTAAAATATTTCGCGCTATACAGCCATAATATCAGGGCATCGAATATGGGAAGGAAGTCTGGGAAGGAAGCCTGGGAAGAAATCATACCAGTTCTCCAGTGATTTCGGACACCTCCAGCGCAGTGCAATCCAGTTAGCACACTTAATTGCCCCTTCAGACGTATCGGTGCGTTTATTTTGAAGTATTTGGAGAGGGGTTACTGGATAATAAAAAGTCTTTCAAATCTTTGTTGGGCAGGGGGCTTCATTGAGTTGCTTTATAGTCTGACGAAAATTGAATGGTACATGTACTTCAGCAGGGCCCCTAGTGGGGCTGACCTACATATCTGCTCAAGCCCTAAGTAATTTATTATACAAGTTTTATCGTTCATCATTCATTCATCATGAAAATAAAATCAGCGATTTACATACATAACATCATCATACATGCCAACATTTGAAAATCAGAAATCTGTACAAATTATGCTATTTTAAAAAAAAGAGGAACAATCCTAACTCTCCTATTCAATACTACAGACAAATTTGTACAGGAAGAGGAACACCTGCATTAAAATGATAATTATCTTCTCCCAAAAGAGGAATGTTCCTCTTTAATCTCAACAGTTGGCATGTATGCATCATATGAATATGATTGTATTATCGTGTATAAGCTACTTATTGACATGAATTGTGAGAGTTTAGTTTGTATTGAAGAGAAAAACAAACAACAACACGAATACGAAGTGTGTTCTCTTGACCACAAAGGTTAATGTTTTCAGCTTTTGATCATATTTTCACAGAATTTGAGATAATGGGGATATTATGTATTCCATGACTCATAATTTTCATGACGACATTTAGACTAATATCATACCATCATGACTTCCTGCATTGACCCCAGATAATGAGTCTGAATCATCGGGATGATAGCTGACAACGAACGTAGGATGTATGATGCCAGCAGCGTCTTTTACCATCGGCCTTTTCTGCAAACGTGAATGAACAACAACGGAATAAATCTCCGAGTAAGGATAACCTTAATCTGAAAATTGGTACATAATATCAATGCCCTTAATCTGAAAATTGACTTAGACATGTGAATGACTTTAATCTGAAAACCGTCACACACGAAGACTCGATTATTAAGGAGGATCTGGATAATTATCCGAAACATAACAGCCATGAGTGTCGTCTCGTTTCTATTATGTTTATCCATACAATGGCTCAGCGTGCTATGTATGGGGAAAATTCGTGAAGTTGCAAGGTTGGTAAAACTCAGATTTGGAGCTTACATCGATTCACTCTATACACACTAAACGGAGAGGAGTGACATTTTAAAGTAAAACCATAATACTTATAAACAGTGCTTTCCATTATAGGCAAATAATCCAAACATTATTACTTGTCATGCTTATGAAAAGAGAGAGAGAGAAAGAAAGAGAGATTCATGATACATAAAACTGATCATGATACCTGTAAACATCTTAATATTTAACTGCTATTTTTTGATGCAATGTACACGGGTTAATTTTCATTGCTACATGCATATGCCTATTTAACACATAAAAAAAGTGAGTTTGGAATTCAAAGTAAAGTTTGCAAAAAATATATATTGCCCCTCCTTTCCCCGTTCTTGATATCGCGGACACACTATGTTCATTCTTGATTCATCTCCGTGCATTAATCCTAAATTAATTTGGGCAAGTCTACACATATTACTACATGTCCCAGGGAAATGAAAAAGACTTCGAGTTGATCTGATGATTCCTTGCCAACATTTAAAAGTAATCATTAGCTCTAAAATCAGAATCAATGAAATACCAGGATGTTTTTATATCAATAAAATATGAATTATGGTGGGTGTTTCTTACCGACACGTCTGGTGAGGGGAACGGAGAAGGGAAGGGCGAGGTCCGTGATCCTTGTGACGGTGTTCGTGAATCAGCAGTATTAATGTTCGGCATTGATGCCATGATAGGATCCGGGTAATCATGTAGTCCTTTGATATCAACAAGTGGTCTTCCAGTGGGCAGGACACTGATGCTTCCATGCCGCGATGGAGGTAAGGCACGTTCATGCCCGAAGCCTCTGAACTGCTCAGAACTTTGAGTTTTGGAAAGCTTCTTGCGGAACGCCCGCGGTAAAATCGAAGACGATTTCTCTGCTTTCGGTGCCCTCTCGGTGAAACACTTTTCGCACATCTCTGTTAATTCCGTCTGGCTGCCGACATTCCTGCTGTTGTTACGACCACATTGCGTTGTCACATCCTGTTGCCATGGATACCGGAGATTGTGTGAATCTCCAACTATATCTAACTGCTCGTAGACCGACTCTTCATCCGATTCGACGGCTATATTATGTTCAGGGTTACCACGCAATACAATATTGGCCTCGTCGTTTTTTTCGTTGAGCATTCTTCTCATATCATTGGATCTTTCCGATGATGACAGCTGATGACGATGTAGATCTGGAGAAGACATATAGATCTTTGGCGCACATACCCCGATCATGTCGACATCATGAGCACCACCATTGGACTGAATTCTTCCATTGCTTTTAGGTCCTTCTGGCATCATCGTCTTTGACTTCGTACTTTCTGATCTTTCTGTAAAGCAAACAAAAAGTATATCAAGTAGATTATATACCCAAAACTGGAATGCTATTATTCTAAGATGCTCGATGTCTTATTTTGTCTGGTATCTCCCTTTGGCATGAAGCCATGCCCTTTATCCTGAATCTCTTATCTTTGGGTGCACTTCACTACCTTCATGTAGGCATCAACGCACGCAGGTGAATTCACACTTAGATAGTACGGTTACAAAATCATAACATCTAATAACACAGGAGTATACTATTACAATTGAAATATTCAGTGGTGGTTATACCGCACAATGTCTTTCAAACTGACAATACAACGTGACCCCCCGAATCTTTTTGTGGTGGGTGATCTTCTTTTCAAGATAAAACTACTATATTACCCCTTCCGGCAGTATTTCTTCTTTTCGGAGGCATTTATAGAATCATCTCTCTCTCTCTCTCTCTTTCTCTTTCTTTCTTCCTCTCTTTTCGATGTTCCATTTTTTTTTTCAATTGAAAATAACTATAATTGGAGATCATCTCTTACTAAGTTTGCAAATTTCGAGCTAAAGTTTCATTAACTTTCTCGGAATAAATCTAAGTTTCTAAGTATTTTCCCAAAATGAATATTGGCTTTCCACACTTTGAAGAAAAAAAAACAGAACAAATTTGTTTGTATCAACAATTTAAAACAGAACAATATCCTATATGTAAACATGGACCTTCTACGAATGGTGTAACAGACTTATCATAACGCAATAACCTTTGATATAAAAAGCAATGCTTTTGCCTGTATAATGTGATGTAGAAAAACGTGATTGTGTGGTGCGTAAAAGGTGATGGCGGAAGTGGTGCAGACCGAAAATTTAATTTAAAAAAAAACGAAATATGTAAAAACAACATTGTTCATGTGTATTATATGTGATTTTCAGAAAATTGCCTTAAAAAATTAGTTGTTGCAAACAATCCACTCACCATACAATTAAACTTCCCTGGTTTTCTTTTATCTAAACTTCCTCCTAATACATGCATGCACAAAAACAAGACATCATAACCTTTAATTAATATGTAGATGTTTGTCTGTAAACACGACATAATTATCATAATTTCTACACCAGGAAGGAAAATAAACGAATGCATTTCTCGTGTCGCAAGTCGATTGTGATATGCTACATGTAGTTGATATTCACTCCGTATATTTCCTCCGCGGTGAATATTGTCTAGGGATGGAAATTTAACACTCTGGTACATTTTTAGATCCGGCATAAGTGGTGCGACATTTCAAACAAGTGCTTCTCACCTACCATCGAGTTCTTTCAGTCACTCCGATACGAAACCATATTTTGAATTCTTAATTTTCAGTCTCTATTTTGTATCATTATATCACCATAGGTTAAAGAAGTTATTTCAAATCATGCTACCGTATTTTCTTCATAGTTTTGCCATTTATCTATAGATCGTGTGATTACTAAAGTGGTGATATCTCACAACATGAGGGCAAGTTATTTCTAGAAAATAACATACATAAATAGAAAGATCATAATACATAATAGAATAATTGTTTTAAATCTTCAATTAAATAAAAAATGTTGGATTTAAAGCATAATTCTTCTCTTCTGCATTATATATCTATGTACAATGTACATAAGATATATAAGACTCTACATTTGATTTATAATATGTAGAGTCTTTTATATATTGGTCAATTTATATGTCAAGATGCGACGCAAACACACACACACACACGTACACAATATAAACATGTATATATAGAACAAATTATTCAATTTGGATAATCCTCAGTCAAAGTAATATAATTATTATCTATATATATATATATATAATATATACGTGGGTGTGTGTGAGGGTGTGTGTGTGTGTGTGTGTGTTTTGCGTGTATATATATATATATATATATTATGACTAATAAAAAGAAGAGACGGGCAGACACACACATACACACACGCACGACGAATGGGCGTATCCAAGGGCACTATTTCAGTCTCTGTTCTTGAATGTTCAAATATTGTACGTAAATTTATAAATTTAAGTAAACATGGTCACATTCCCTGCTGCATAGCAACTATTTCAGTAACACTATATTTGACAAAGATAATAAACACATATTGTGACAATTGCCACATACAAGACAGCACAAGGTCAAAATAACTCGACAGGAAAAAAAATACTGAAGCTTTTTCCGGTTCGTGAATAAACGGCTATTACAAAAAAGAATAGTCGTATTGTTTGTTTAACACCTTTTTAGAATTCTGCTCAGCTCAAGAAAGAAAAAGAGGTGCCAGTCTAAAACTGTACTCTGGTGTTGAATTTCCTTCTCCGAACGACTCACCACAGAGAAAATAGCAAGAGTGTATGGATTGATTTCGTCGCCATTTTACATTCATGGGATAACATCATTGCCCTGCATTCTAATAATAACTCAGTCTTTGAGAGCATGTTTAATTCATATTGTAAAAAGAGAACATAAAGGCCTACACAGTATTTCACACAACACTACATACATGTATACGATCATCTTATTTCTTGTCTGTTGCACCCCGGGGTGCATTGACTATGTTTGTTCTTTCTCTCTCTCTCTCTCTCTCTCTCTATTGATATATTATCTCTCTCTCACTCACTCACACTCTTTATCTCTGATTTCTGGAAGATATTAATATTGCCACATTCAGGCAACTATCAGATAGGTGAGCGAGCTTGTAAGACAGTTGAAAGCCAATTTACGTTTGAATGTCACTCTCTACCACATGTCGTATTACGAAGTCTTGTGAATATCTATACATTGTGATATAAATCTATGCGAAAAGGGAACATACTTCCAGCGAAGAATATACTTTTTTTCTTCATTTCCATGTACCATTATGATTTAAAAAAAAATCTAATGTCAGATTTTATTTTACACGCCCACATTAATGACAAAGAGAATATAACTTGTATGGATAATTATTACCCGATTCCTTGACAAAATCAATTAAAACGATTCTCAAAAAGGAGCTTCATAATTTATCGGCACCTGAAATTTTCGAAAGGCCTAGTCTTTCAAATCAACTTCGAAAATGCTAATCATTATAACATAAGTATACACTGTCTTAAAAATCATACGTTTCAAGCTTCAATCTGCCTTGTTTCCTTTCTTGATCAATTTCACATTATTTTGGTTGATGGTTACAAGCAAGTAAACAAGCACAATAACCTTCTGTTCCAATTGTTTCTGATCCCCAATTCAATCTTAAGCTCTCACACACACTGAATATTGAGTGTGTCGGCAGGGGCAGTACATGCCATGCGTGGGACGAGGTGAAGACGGATGAAGGTATAAGTAATGCCCTTACTTTAAATTCGAGCCCAAAATTGTTTTTATTTTCTTTAACTCTGTGCGATATTATTATAAAAGAAACAAAATGAAACTTTCCCATAACTATTCCATGAGTCAAGAGTGAAGCATCAACGTATGGCGGAGGTAATATTTCTTACTGAAACAAAATGGCGCCTTCGTGATAACTGCTATATCGAGGCATATCCAGAACAGATAGGGCGTAATTCTCTCCGGCTGGGGTGTTATTTAGACATCCCACGTGTCATGGACCCCACGACTGGGGGGGGGGGGGGGGGGAGGGGAGGGGCTGTGGAAAATACATTCTCACGGAATAAAACGAAACCTAAACTAAATGTTCAATATTTATGCCAGACTAATTCCGAAATAATATTGACTTTCTATACCGAATCGGTGATAAATCAATAGCTCACTAATGAGCAAATATAGACAAGGACATAATATTAAGTAGTCCCGACTCATGTGCATAATAAACGGTCTACGTGAGTAAATAAGAATCATTATTTGATTTCTATGTGAGTTCGCTTGTTTGCATAATATATATTTGCTGGCTGAAATAGCCCATTTAGTGCGTGGGAATATCATTAGTCCATTTTCTCGCAAAATGCAATGCAAGTCCACACTACCCATTACCAGTTCAAAATCATCATTATGAGAGCATATAGAAAACCACCAGCGTTTAAAGGATTCAGTAATTCCGAATGAGATCAAAAGCAGCCAGCTATATAGGTTTCTTCCATCCATGCATTTACCTTACAATAATTCATTACACTGATCACACAATGAGTACACGCAAGAGTAGCAGAGAGTCAACACCTAAAGTTTACATACTTCGCGGTCAACCTAACATTAAGAAAAATACAAATATTGTAGACATATCCTTGAAAAACGGTTGGTTTTTGTTTCAATGGATTTCATATTTTTCACACTTCCTCTTTTATCGTCGTGATAATGCATGTGTTATAAATGAATAGTGTAGGCTTATGGCCCTAGGTTTTTATGCACTACGGAAAATGAATGATTTTTGTTTAAGATTGCGGATGAAAATGAGGGCGTGGAAATATGGATCAAGTAAAAGAAATTGGATTAGTAGGATGCGAAAGCTAATGTGGTTAGATTAGCAAGTGTGCGCTTGTAAAAATGACGCCTGGCTGGAATGCTCCCCAGGGAGTGGAGGATGTGCATACATTGTGTGCGGGTAAGCCTGAATCCAATGACCGGGGTAATAATATACTTATCTGTAAAGCGCTTTGAGAGGGCCTCCGGTCCTGAAAAGCGCTATATAAGAACGAGCTATTATTATTATTATTAGTAGTAGTAGTAGTAGTAGTAGTAGTAGTAGTACGTGTAAAGGTTGTTCACGTTCAAGTTCAAGTTTTTATTTTCCACATTCCATTAAAAACAGTCATAATTAATGATGGACAATAGCAAATGTATATATTAACAAGACATTACAGTAGAACGAAAATGAAGAGGGGAAACGCATAGGCCATTGGCCTTACGAGGCAGAACCCTAAAATGAACTAATGCAAGTATCTTCTTTGGTGGTGATAATTATACACCATCATACCGACTATGATCCGATGCTACTAGTATATATATATAGACCATACACACAATACTATTTTTGACTATTTGCCCATAGTAAAGAACCCTTGTCATCAGTCACATATTAA